TATTTATCCTGGTCTCCCATGGGGTGCAGGGCCCAAGCACTTGGGCCATCCTCCACTGCACTCCCAGGCCACAGCAGAGAACTGGCCTGGAAGAGGGGTAACCGGGACAGAATCCAGCGCCCCGACCGGGACTAGAACCCGGTGTGCCGGTGCCGCTAGGCGGAGGATTAGCCTAGTGAGCCGCAGCGCCGGCCAGTGCCATTGGCTTATGACTTTGGGATTTAAATTCTTGCAAGTATTTAGGAGGAAAATCACATTCAAAGTACAGCCCCAACAAACAATAGGAGTGGCAACAAACACTTCAGAGTGGTAGAGATCGAAATCCAAAGTTGCTATAAAATATTACCTAAAACAGAGATAAGCAAAATATAGCCTTTGACTCAATTATGGATCACTGCCTATTTTTAAAATAAAGTTTTATTGGAAAACATCTTTGCTCATTCATTTATATATTGCCTATGGCTGCTTTTACATTACAGAACAGAGTTAGTAAGCAGTTGCAATAGAGACCACATTGCTTACAAAGCTTAAAACACTAACTATCTGGTCTGCTATAGAAAAAAACTCTGCTGGTGGATCAGGTTTTATAGCATAGCAGGTTAAACTACCATTTGGGATGCCACATCCCACATCAGAATGCTTGTTAAAATCCCAGCTACTTTGCTTCCAATCTAGTTTTCTACTAATGTACCTGGGAAGGCAGTGCATCATGGCCTAAGTATATGGGGCCCTCCACATATGTGGGAGACCAGGATGGAGTTCTGGGCTTTTAGCCTTGGCCTAGCCCAGTCCTGGCTGTTGTGCACATTTGGGGAGTGAACCAACAGATAGAAAATCTCTCTCTCACCCAACCTCCTTACCCCCTCCCTTTTTTCTCTCTTTATGTCACTTTGCCTTTCAAATAAATGAATCTTCTTTTAAAAAGATTTATTTATTTATATGAAAGGCACAGTTACACAGAGAGAGGAGAGGCAGAGAGAGAGAGAGGTCTTCCATCCGATGGTTCACTCCCCAATTGGCCGCAACGGCCAGCACTGTGCCGATCTGAAGCCAGGAGCCAGGAGCTTCTTCCTGGTCTTCCATGTGGGTGCAGGGACCCAAGGACTTGGGCCATCTTCTACTGCTTTCCCAGGCCATAGCAGAGAGCTGGATAGGAAATGGAGCAGTTGGGACTAGACCCGGCACCCATATGAGATGCTGGCGCTTCAGGCCAGGGCATTAATCCACTGCGCCACAGCACTGGCCCCATAAACAAATCTTTCTAAAAAATTTTGTCGCCCCTGATCTAAAATGTTCAGTTTTCAATAAAAAAGTTATCAGACTTATATATAAATAGGAAAGTAGAGTTTATATATAGAAAACGATGCAGTTAATAGAAACTAACTCTGAGGGAGCAGAAATGTGAAACTTAGCAGAAAAAGATTTCAATGTAGTTCAGAAAACAAAGAAAATCAAGTTTAAAAAATTAAAGTATGACAATACAGACTATCAATAAAAAGGTAGACATTGTAAAATAAAACAAATAGGAATTCCAGAGTTGAAAAATACAACTACTGAAGTGAAAAAAAAAATCACTATGGGAGTGCAACAGCAGATTTGAAATTGCAGAAAAAGAATCAATAAACTAGAATACAGATCGATAGATATATCCAACTTGAAGAAAAGAAAAGGGGAACTAATGAAGAAAAATGAACAAGACTCAGAGACATGTGGGATGCAATCAAGCATACTAACATATGTTTCAGAGCAGTCCTAGGAAGAGAAGAGGCAGAAAAAAGTTTGAAGGAAAAAAATGTCTGAAAACTTTCCAAATTTGAGTGAAAAAATTACACATCTAAGAGGCTCAATGAACTCCAAACACAGTAAGCACAAAGAGATCCACATGCAGACATTCCATAGTGAGACTGTTGAAAGCCAAACACAGACAATCTTTAAAGCAACAGAGAAAAATGGATCATCATTTGCAAAGAAACTACAATCACATTAACAAATAACTTTTCATTAGAAACAATGGAGACTAGAAAACAGGGATATAATACTCAAAGCACTTAAAGAAAAACATCTGCCAGCATTGTGGCACAGCAGGTTAAGCTGCTGCCTGCCACACCAGCAAGCCAATCTTGGAGCACCAGTTGGAGTCTTCGCTGCTCTGCTTCCAATCTGGTTTCCCTGCTAATATGTCTAGGAAAGCAGTGGATGATGGCCTGAGTGCTTGGACCCCTGCGACCCCATGTGGTAGATCCAGATGTGGAGTTCTGGGCTCCTGGCTTTGTCCTAGACCAGCCATGGCTATTGTTATTTGGGAGGACGGGGTGGTGGTGAAGATATCTTTCTTCAGCAGCTGGAAGTTATCTTGCTGTCTTTCTGTTTCTCTTTCTCATTCTGACTTTCAAATAAATAAATAAATCTTTGAAAAAAATAAAAATCTGCTGGCCAAAAATTCTATAAAGCAAAAATATCGTTTAAATATGAAAGTCAAATAAATATATTCCCTAAAAAACAAAAACAAAGAACTTGTTAGCAGGGCTACTTTAAAAAAATATTAAAGGAAGCTGGTTCAGTTGATAGAAAGTGATTTCAGATAGTTACTAAATTCCGTAGGAAAAAGGTACTACATTACAAAAAGTAAATATGTGGGTTAATATAAAAGATCCTATAAATATTTTCCTCATTTTTTCTCTTCTTTAAATGCCATAAGTGTGAATATAGCAATAATTACAATGCCATATTGTTAAGTATTAGATACATAAATTTAATAGTACAAGGCAGAGGGAAGATATGTTTTATTCTGTGTTTGTATGTTTGTATCAATCCAAAGTAGACTGTAATAAATTAAGAAACATGTTATAATCTCTATGGCAACCACTAATCTCAAAAAACACAAAAAAAATCAACAGTATAATTAAGATATACACTAGAAAATGTTCATTTACTGGCCGGCGCCTTGGCTCACTAGGCTAATCCTCTGCCTGCGGTGCTGGCACACCAGGTTCTAGTCCTGCTTGGGGCGTCGGATTCTGTCCCAGTTGCTTCTCTTCCAGTCCAGCTCTCTGCTGTGGCCCGGGAGTGCAGTGGAGGATGGCCCAAGTCCTTGGGCCCTGCACCCGCATGGGAAACCAGGAGAAGCACCTGGCTCCTGGCTTCGGATCAGCGCAGTGTGCCGACCGCAGCATGCCGGCCGCGGTGGCCATTGGAGGGTGAACCAACAATAAAGGAAGACCTTTCTCTCTGTCTCTCTCTCTCTCACTGTCCACTCTGCCTGTCAAAAATAAATAAATTAATTAATTAAAAGAAAAAAGAAAATGTTCATTTATTTAACACAAAAGAAAGATGTCAAGGAGTATCAGAGATAAACAAAGGGCAAATGTAAATCCAAAATATCAATAATTATGTTAAATGTTAATTTTGATCTTTTCAACACCCCATTCCACAGAGACTTTCAGACTGGATTAGGAACAAGATCCACCTGTATGTTAAGAGAAACACAACTGAGGGTAAAAGACATAAATATTCAAAATAAAAGGTTAGAGATATACTATGTAAATTACAATCATAAGACTGCTGGAGTAAAAAACACAACCTGTAAACACTTTGACTTTGGCCCAGTGAAATCCATCTCTGACATCTGACCTCCAGAACTGTAAAATACATTTATTATTATTGTTTTAAGCCTCTCCCTCTCACAAAAAAAAAAAAAAAAAAACCAACTAAACAAATTGCTGGAGTGACTATAATGGTATCAAACAAAATAGACTTGAAGACAAGATACATCACTAGAGACAAGGTTGGATATATCATTATGATAAAAAGGTCGTTAACCTGAAAGATACAGAAATTGTATGTGTATATGACCATAACAATAGAGCCTCAAAATACACGAAACAACAACAGAATTGAAGCAAGAAATAGACAATTCAGAAATAGTAGTTGACTTCAACACCTCATGCTCAATAACTGATAGAGCAAACAGAAAATAAACAAGCGTAGAAAAGGCTTGAACAACACTGTGACCCAACTTGACCTCTATAAGATCACAATGACCTCTTTAGGAGCACCCAACACGAGCACAATAAACATTTTTTCTAATATAGTATCTCCAAAATAGGCTATAAAACAAACCTCATTGATTTAAAAGAACTGAAATCATACAAAGTATGTTCACCACCCACAATAGAATTGAATTAAGTTAGAAATCACCACAGAAAATTTGGGGAGCCCACAAGTATGTATAAATTTAACAATACAATCTAAATAGCCAATGGGTCACAGAATAAATCACAAAGGAAATTTTAATATGTTTTAAACTGAATGAGAACAAAAACATCAAACTGTGTCAGAGTAACTCAAATAGCTATGAGAGGGGCGTATACTAGATGTGCCTCAATCTACAATGAGGCATCCATATTTTTAACCCCTTTTTTGTGCCCACTTCACATAGAGAAAAGGAATTTACATTGCTTTTCACTTCACTTGTTTTTTCTCCTCACCAAAGTCCCTATACGGGCAGCTGTTTGAGTTCCAGCTGCCATATTTCCAATGCAGCTCCCTGCTGATGCACCTGGGAAAGCAGAAGATGGCTTAAGAGCTAGAGCTCCTGCCACCCACACGGAGAACACGGATGGAGCTCTGACTTCCTAGCTTCAGCCTGGCCCAGCTTGGCTGTTGTTGCTAATTAGGGAGTGAACCAGCAGATGGAAGATCGATCTCTCTCTCTCCCTCCCTCTCTCTGTGGTTCTGCCCTTCAAATAAATAAATAAATAAGTCTCTGGGGGTGAAAAACAAAATCCCCCAAACAGCTCAATCTCTTTCTTCAGATCTTAAGAACAGACTTCTTCTAAGTCAGTTACTGTCCAAAACACATAACATAGATGTGAACTCACCCTCGTGAAGAGAGAAGTCATGAGAGACACAGTTTATTTCTGTCAATCAGGCACATTCCTAAATCAGTTGTTCTCCCTCCATTAACTATTCCATTCCCAATCAGTGATGTTCAGAAGTACCTGGCTTCAGGTGTTTTTGATCCACAAGGGACCTGAAGGTAGTTGACATTCCATCATTACTCCCAACCAATCTTCAAAAAGAGAAAAAGCATTCTCACAATTTGTAGTATGTAAGACGAAACTTGAAATTACAAATATATATATATATACACTTATAGAAAGGAAAATAAGTGCAAAATTTAATTTTGTGTTGGTCTTTAAGCTTCAATTTATTCCAATAATTTTTAAAAAGATTTTTGTTCATTTTAAAGGCAGAGTTACAGAGAGGGGAGGAGAGACAGAGAGACAGTGATTTTCCATCTGCTGGTTCACTCTCCAGATGGCCACAACAGCCAAGGCTGGGCCAGACTGAAACCAGGAGCCAGGAGCTTCATCTGGGTCTCCCACATGGGTGGCAGAGGCTCCAACATCTGGGCCATCTTCTACTGCTTCCTCAGGCACATTAGCAGGGAGGTGGATTAGAAGTGGAGGTACCCACATGGGATGCCAGCATCACAGCTCAATCTGCTCTACAACGCTGGCCCCAATTGTCCCTCATATTTCTAAATGTTTGATTCTAAGGAAAAGTACAATCAGTACATTTATTAAAGTGCATGCAGGTAATTTTTTTTTATAAAGACAACAATTACCTGACCAATTGGGGTCTATTTAAACTTAAAATCAAATTAGAGTAATTTCAACAAATGTTTATTGCACCCACTATTTAATGGGTCCTGGAATATCTGGGGACAAATTGGGAACAATTTCTACCTTCAAAGAGTCCAGAAGCTGTTGGAAGAGAATGAGCCATAGCTACAATTTTAAACAGATTGGGATAAGGACCACAATTTAAACAAAAAGATATGGCATCAGAGGTGGCAGTTAGGAATAGCTGGAAAAGATTTCAAAGGGTTGAAATGACAAAAAGCAATTAATGTTTCAACTGGAATGATTACAATAAGCAGAAGAGGAGTAGGGACAGAATTCCAGAGAAGAGAGCTGAGGTGTGGCTATAATACTGGGCGAATGAGGACATGTTGAGAACAGGCTGAAGTCTGATTTACATAATCACATTAACATTTAGCGAGTACTTCCTGCATGCCAAATACTCCTAAGTACTTTACAGGGGCAGGTGTAGAAGTTAGATGGCAGTTAGGATGCCTGCATCCCCTATCAGAGGGCCCTGCCAGCTCCACTTCCAATTCCAGCTTCCTGCTGATACACGATTGCTCACATAGTTGGGTCCCTGTACCCATGTGGGACATCCAGATTGAATTCCAGGCCCTTAACTTGGCCTGGCCTTGCCCCAGCTATCATGGACATCTGGAGGATGAACAAATAGATCAGATGGAAGATCTCCATCTCTGTCACTCTGCCTTTCAAGTAAGAGCAGTTAACAGGTATCTTATCTACCTCTTTTCTCATTATTCATAAGCCATCCTTTTAATGCCTCGCTTAAATGCTACCTTTCTGCAAAGTCTTTGTTGATTCTTTCAGATGAACATAATCTCTTTTTAAGCCTCAAAATATTTTACCTATGTCACTTTTATGGCATATCATAACATTTTGCTCCTGGCATTCTAGATTTTATGTGCATCCTTCCTTTTTCCTTTAGTCTGATCCATTTTCTGTTTTCCATGACTTCTAGGACAGGGCTCAACACCTAATAATGCTTGTTAAATCTATGTCACAGAGGCCGTGGTTGTGTTGAAGCTGGTTAGGCCACCATCCATGATGCCAGCATCCCATATCCAAGTATTAGGGGGTCCCAACTACCCTGCTTCCAATGCAGCTTCCTGTTAATGTGCCTCACAAGTACTTGGGGCCCTGCTACATATGTGGAAGACCCAAATGGAGTTCCAGACTCCAGGCTTTGGCCTGGCCCAGCCCTGCCTGGCTGTTGCAGCCATTTGGAGAGTGAAAGCACATAGATTGATCTTTCTCTCTCTCTGCCTTTCAAATAGTTAAAAAAAAATCTATGAAGCAGTAATTCTTTGCAATGCACTGTGCTGAACATTCTATAGTAGTTATTTCACAAAATCTTTGTTTTTTAAATTTATTTGACAGAGTTATAGACAGTGAAAGAGAGAGAGAGAGACAGACAGAAAGAAAGGTCTTCCTTCCATTGGTTCACTCCCCAAATGGCCGCTACGGCTGGCACTGTGCTGATCTGAAGCCAGGAGCCAGGTGCTTCTCCTGGTCTCCCATGGGGTGCAGGGGCCCAAGCACTTGGGCCATCCTCTACTGCCCTCCGGGCCACAGCAGAGAGCTGGCCTGGAAGAGGAGCAACTGGGACTAGAACCCGGTGCCCATATGGGATGCCGGCACCGCAGGTGGAGGATTAACCAAGTGAGCCACAGCGCCAGCCCCACAAAATCTTGACAACAAAAAAATTCATACAGATAAAATATTAGATGTACCTTAAACTTAATAAACAAGATCCCTGCCCTCAAGCTCAGCTTAGGGAGGCTGGTACTGTAAGTGCGCCAGGGTTATAAAGACGAGGAAAAGCGAGACTCAAAGAAATAACTTGCTTTCCCAGAATCTGAGAGAAAATCGTGGCAAAGCCAGAATTCAAACCAATTCTCCAGACTGGATATTCAGGCCCCTAAGCCTTCATACTGTATGAAGGTAGACATGAGCCTGAGCCTAGGTATGTGAGAGAGGCAGAACAGAAACTAGCAACAGGCCTTGGAGGTAGCCCAGCACTTACACATCAAAAGTCTTGTCAATGACGCATAACTTTTTAGGTAGACCCCAGTCTTCCCTTGATGACATCTTAAGGGAATCTTCCCAGCCCCTGGCCAGGGGGCTATGAGATCCAGTAACAGTGTGCTGATAAAAGCCCCAGGAGGAATTTCATAAAAGCCGTTGGCCCAGCAATACCCCAGAAACAAATGTTTCAGGTGAAAATCCACGGGCCCACACCCATAAAAACTGCAGTCTGAATGCAAACTGGGCTCTCGGTTCTTCGCTGTGTTGCCCACCTGGCCATCCAGGTGTATTCTCTTCATTAAACTTCACTAGCTTACTTACTGCCCTTCTCTGTCTCACACCTGAAATCCTTTTCTTACGAGAAGACAAGAAAGGACTTCTGTTCTAGCCATTTCCGGGAACATAACTACTGTGTTCTAACGGAGGCATCTAATAAATGAAAAGTTCTAGAATACTCCTAAAAGGAAAAATCGGCTCATGAGGCTTCTTTCTTCTCTTTCTCTCTTTTTCTCTTTCTTCTTTTTTTTTTTTTTTTTTTTTTCACGAGGGGGAAAGCAGGAATCGAGCAAATGGCAAAGCGCAGGTAGAGGTCGTAGCCTAACCTAGCACTCACCTGGCAGCACCTATCCGCCCATCAAGCCATCTGCCGAGACTCGCTGAGCACTGCGGATTTGTGGTCTGTGGAGTCCCTTTACGGGGCTGTTCCTGAGCATCACTGCTCCGCCGCGAGCTGCCCGGTGTAGCTGTCACTAGTACTGTGACCTTCGGGGATATTTCTATTTCCTTCCCAATAATGAGCGGAGTAGGGTAGGAGATAATACTTAAACATGGTACAGTCATCCTTGAGGCTTCCCAAAACGTGTAAACCGACTTCCTACTGGAGGGATGAGGAAGACGCCGCGAGGGGATGAGAGACCAACTCCTCCCGGCCCTGCACCTGAGGGCCGGAACACGTGTCTCCCGGGTGGGGACCTGCGACCCGAGCTGTCACACTGCTGGCGGGACAACGCTCCCGCCTCCTGCTGCGCTGCTTGGTCTAGCCTAGCCACCTCCTGAAACAAAATAAAAGGAGTTTTAGAGTGGCTGTGTACCTCAAAGCATCAACCAAGCAGTATGAGGCAATCATCTCAGTCGCCACAACTTCTTAGCCCAATAGGAGACTACGTCACTTTGCACTAAGTTTACCAAGTCAAGCGGCAGAGCACAATTCTAACAGCCAGGATCCTGTCCAAGGCTCTTGGGACAACCTAGACCCACGTTCCTCGAGACCCCGGGCCCCATCTACCCTCTGCTCTTCAGGGGCCCGGCAACCGGCGCAGACACCGCAGCCGCGACGCACAAGGCGTGTCGGGCGCAGGCCGTGCGCCCCGCCCCTCTCCGCCCTCCGCCAATGGCCTGCGGCGCGGGCACCGGGAGCTTCAGGCCCCGCCCTCCTCTTCTGAGGGCGCACTTAGCGCATGCGCCTAGGAAGCGGGCCGGGTGAGGGGCTCTCTAAGGAGGGGAGGGGGAGACGGATATGGGAGGGAATGGCGCCTACAGCCCCCGTCCCGTCAGGGCGCCCGCGGGAGTGCGCGTTGGGGGTGAAGGCGAGCAGTGGTTGCTTGAGGGGGGCGAGGCCGAAACCCCCACCCCTCTAGGGCACGGTCGCCGAGGCGCCCCTTACCCGACGGTGTTTGTGTACCCGCCCAGGGAGACATGGAGAGCTGTCTGGCGGCCGCGGCGCTGAACGGGGTGGACCGACGTTCCCTGCAGCGCTCGGCTAGGCTGGGGCAAGAAGTGCTGGAGCGGGCCAAAAGAAGGGCGGTGGACTGGCATTCGCAGGAGCGTCCCAGAGGCAGCACGGGGGTCCTTTCCTGGGAGGGACCCTACCACGCAAGAAGGCCGCCCGCCGGCCCCCTGTGCCTTCTCCCGGGAGAGGTGAGGGCCCCATGCTGAGGACTCGCCCGCGGCGGCCTGCTGGGGCCCAGGGGCGCACCGTACTGCCCATGGCGGAAGCCGGGAAGTATTGGGACGATGAATGGGAAAGTCTCTTGAAAACTCTTCACAGTTTACAGATTCTTGTTGGGTTGTTGTAGAATACAGTGATCAGCCCTGGTTGGTAAATTAAAAAAAAAAAAAACCTACCATGCTTCCTTTGCATACTAGAGGAAAACCAGCCAACCCATTTTAGGTCCTTGATAAAATTGCATGTCTGAAGTTCCTTCCTACTGGCAAACAGAGAGGTCTTTCCAAAAGTAAAAAGGAGGCTATTGCCAAGATGGCTTCATTCTCAGGCAGGGGATCCTGCATCTCACCTGTGACTTGCCATTCATTCAAATAGAGAGAAGAAAGGCACCCGACCCTTAGTGCTTCGTTCAGAACGATGGCTGAATTCATGGACTATACTTCAAGCCAGTGTGGGGTAAGTTGGCACGAACCGTAGCCATGCCTCCTGATCACCTGCTGATGGATCCCAGCGTGGATCTTTCTGGAATTTAGGGACAGTCGAGACTACCTCTTCCCCTTCCTAGGCAGGTTATAATCAGTGAGGAATTTAAACCAAGTGGTAAATCCAGGTTAGAATTCATCCAAAAAGTATGTACTAAATGCTTAATTGGAATTGTTGGTCATTCAGCCATAAACAAGCCAGGAAAGGCCCTCATTGAGTTTTCAGTCTAGTGGTGAAAAACAGCTAATTTGCCGAATTCTAAAACAAGTTGCATATCCATTTTTGCCTTTAAAAAAAACTTTGAACTAAAGTTAAAAATATTTAGAGTTTTTACAAAATACTTTATTTGAGGAGCGAAGAGAGTGAGTACCTTTTTGCTGGTTCACTCCCCAGACACCTGCAGTGCCTCAGCTGGGGCAGGAGACTAAGCCAGGAACGCAACTCAGGTCTCCGAGCTGGATGGTGGAAACCAGTCAATGGGCATTGCCTCCCAGGTTCCGCATTAGCAAGCAGCCAGAGTCAGGAGCCAGAGCTGGGCATGGAACCTAGGCCCTCAGATATGGGATGACCGGGTCCCAGCCACTCCCCTGTTCTCAGAACTGAGCCTCTCTGTTTTCAAAATGTATTGAAACTGAAACTAAATGTCTGCATTAGCTCTTATCCTCTAATGTTTAAGTGCCTGGCATCCCTAGGAAGACAGTTACATGGAACAGATGCAGTGCCCTGGTCAGGGTTGTGTGGCTTATTGACAGGAGGGGCTCCCCAGGAGTCAGAGCCAGGTTCTTAGTGGCTGCAGTGCCTTAGGCTGGTTATTCTCTCAGCCTTCCTGAAGCATGGGACTAGAATAAGAGGAAGTTGTGCAGAGACCTTCAGGACATGAAGCTACTGATGTGTTTTAGCTTCCTCCTCATAAAATTAAGACTTCTAAGGTTCTTTCACAGTGTAGGTTATAAACTATAGCATGAGAGGTTTGAGTGAAATTTCTGGTACCTTCTATGGTTTCAGTGTGTCCCCCAAAGGTTCATATGTGGAAATCTAATCCCCGCTGTGAGGCACTGAGAGGGTAGCAACTTGACCTGTGGTGTTTAGAGGCAGAGTCTTTGGGAGACTATTAGGATTTGATAAGGTCCGCAGGATTGAGCACCTCGATTGATTTCTGGTGGCTTTATTAGAAGAGACCCACACACGCTCCCTGTCTCTTGCATGGATGCCTTGTACTGCCTCCAGACCTTGCCAGCAAGAAGGTCCTTATCAGAAGTAGGCCCTTGGACGTCCAGAAGGATGAGCTAGCAAAATTTCTTTATAAAGTTGCCCAGCTTCCAATGTTTCTTGTAACAGTGCAAAATGGACAGTTAACATTCATCGAAATGGGTGAACTATGGTTTTAAAGTCCCTCTTCTCAAATCCATACACTTAGATCATCTTTAAGTACTTGAAGGAAATACAGCAGAGTAGTCAACATGCAAGGAAATCACCCGCGAGGAAAGTACCACGTGTCTGCTAGAAATCTCAACATGTTCTGACTCCTCTGGCCTTAGCATTTTGTGAGCCTTCTGTGGTTGTCAGGATGCTAGCCTGTGCAGGAGAATGAAGAATATACCTTGTTTCTCTCCTGCTTTCAGTTTCATGTGTTAAGATCTGAGAAAGACTTAATCTTTCTATATCTTTTATGAAGATGCCTGTGGTTCAGGATAGGATTCTAACTAGTGGGATATGGTTCAGAGAAAATTTGTTATGTTCTTGTTTGTACTGTTAAGTTGTAGAAAAATCTGTAACTTCTTTAAAGTGATTAAAACACTTGGTTCCTGGCTCAGTAAAAGGAATAATATTTGTCTTTGGTTTGAGGTTTAGCATATTGGTGTTCTTCATACTGGTATTCAGTTCAGGTCTCCGTTATGGGATGGAGCTTCAGAGCCCCTTGGCTTTCTAGACATGAAAAATAGTGTTCTGGGGCAGGCATGCGGCTTAGCAGTTAACACGCCACTTGGGATGCCTGCATCTCATATCAGAGTGCCTATGTTTGAGTGCTGGCTCTAGCTCTTGACTCCAGCTCAGATTCTAGGAGGCAGCAGTAATGGCTCAAGTGATTTGTTCTCTGCCCAACCATGTGGGAAAACTGCATGGAGTGTCCAGCTCTAGCTCTAGAGGGCCTTGTAGGATTGAGCCAGTTGATGAGAGATTTCTATCCATCCATCATTCTCAAAAAAGGGGGAAGAGGGGCTGGTGTTTGGGCACAGTAGGCTAAGCTACCACTTGACACCAATCAGCAGTCCGTTTTGAAATGCTGGTTTGAGTCCTGTCTGCTCCACTTCTCATTCAGCTTCCTGCTAATGTGCCTGGGAAGGTAGCAGAAGATGGCCCAAGTACTTGGGCCCCTGTTACCCAGGATAGAGGATAGCCCAGGATAGAGTTTCTGGTTTCAGCCTAGCTGAGTCCTGGCTGTTGTGGCCATTTGGGGAGTGAACAAGCAAATGGAAGATCTGTCTCCTTCTGTATTGCTCTTTCAAGTTAAAAAACAACTGCACCGGGTTTTGGGTTTACCTCCACGATTTTGAAGTAGCTGCTAAGTATATCATTAGATCCGTGTCCTGAAGTGTTCAGCTTCTCATTCTTCGGGTCACATGTTTTAACACACTGTCCATAACCACATTCAAAACAAGCAGGCTTGTGATGGCCTCATCATTAGTCATAACCAAGGGCAAATCTAAGGTTAACTTCCAGGAATGGAAGGAAGTAGACAAGAAAAATGTAACTTTTTCAACCCTGTGGATTATCATTCTTAAAACTGGAGACCTGTCCCTCTACTCCCTCATGTGGGAATCATGAGGAAAAGGGTTAGATAGCTCTTAGGTTTATGTTTCATTTCCTGCCGTATTTCTTTTTTTATTTTCATTTATTTGGAACACAGATCTCCGACTTCTACTATTCCACTCCCCAAATGCCTGTAACATTTGAGGCTAGGACAGACCAAAGCCAGGAACTTGAAACTTAATTCAGGTCTTCACGTGGGTGGCAGGAACCCAAGTACTTAAACCATCACCTGCTTCCTTCCAGTTGCACGTCAGTGGGAAGGTAGAATTGGAAACAGCTGGGATTCCAAATCAGGCACTCTGTGATGGGATGCTGACATCTCAAGCAACTGTGCCAAACACCCATCTTTCGTGCTGTAATTTTAAATCTCAAGGAAATGCACTTCTCTCTTCTTTTATCCTTATCTGAGACTTAAACATAAACATGGAACTGTTCATTAAACTTTGTTAGGGAAAGAGATGAAAGTACATGTGCAGCCGGCGCCGCGGCTCACTAGGCTAATCCTCCACCTTGCGGCGCCGGCACACCGGGTTCTAGTCCCGGTCGGGGAGCCGGATTCTGTCCTGGTTGCCCCTCTTCCAGGCCAGCTCTCTGCTGTGGCCAGGGAGTGCAGTGGAGGATGGCCCAGGTGCTTGGGCCCTGCACCCCATGGGAGACCAGGAAAAGCACCTGGCTCCTGCCATCGGATCAGCGCGGTGCGCTGGCCGCAGCGCACCAGCCGCGGCGGCCATTGGAGGGTGAACCAACGGCAAAAAGGAAGACCTTTCTCTCTGTCTCTGTCTCTCACTGTCCACTCTGCCTGTAATAAAAAAAAAAAAATGTGCATGTGGGGCAAAGATGTGCAAGTTACTTCATCCGGCATGGAGGCAGCAGATGGCAGCAAAGTAAGTTAGGCCAAAGGCAGTTTTCTTCCCTGCAGCACTTTCATGGGCTCAGGCTTGCTAGAGGCTTCAGTCGCCTGTCAAGAGGGCAGGTAAGGCTGGGCTTTGTGGCCCAGTGGGCTAAGCCTCTTCTTGGGATCACTGCATGTTGAGTCCCACCTCTGCTTCCAATCCTGCACTCTTGATAATGTGCACCCTGAGAGTCAGCAAGTGGTGGCTCAGGTATTTGGATCCTGACCCTTGGCTGTAGCCTAGCCCAGTCTCCGTTGCAGCCATTTGGAGCAGAGCAGTGGATGGAAGATATTTTCTCCCTCCCTCTCTCTCCCTTCCTCTTCTTTTCCCCCTCCCCTTCTCCTTCCCCCTCCCCCTCCTTCCCTCCCTTTCAAATAAATTTAAAAGGTGGGGTAATTTGCCCTTGTGCTCTTGCTTCCCTCCTTAACTACACTTAGCTCCAGTTCCAGACCATCTGTTTACCCCACTTCTTCCACTTCCCTAGAAATATTACTCATCTGTGCCAGAAGAAGGAGGGACCACCCACGTCTGTCGTTATCACAGAGGGAAGTCAATGGTGCACCTGTGTTCGGAAACTGGGAATGGTCAGGTATGTCTCTTCACGTGGCCTGCACAGTGCCCTTGACCTCCCAAGGTGTGAGACCCTGTACTCCAGATCTTCTGCAGGGCTTGGTGTGACCCAGCGTAGCAGGGCCCAACAGAAACAGATCAACTCGCAACCTTAGAGGACTATCACAATGAACATGAGTAGAAGATTTTTCTAAATCTAAGATGGATGCCACTGTAGAATCTTGCAACCCGCAATCCTGAGCCACAGGATTTTTGGGCAGGCTTGACAAAAAAGCTTCAGATAGCCTCTTCTACATCTAGAGATAGAAAAGAGATTTTTATTAATTAAATATATTTTACTGTAAGGTAAATTATAACTTTCATGTCTTCAGTAATTTTTTTAAGATTTATTTATTTATTTGAAAAAAGTTACAGAGAGGCAGAGAGAGATCTTCCATCCACTGGTTCACTCCCCAAATGGCAGCAACAGCCAGAGCTGGGCTGATCTAAAGCCAGGAGACTGGAGCTTTTTCTCGGTCTCCCACATTGCTACAGAGGCCCAATGATGTGGGCCGTCTTCCGCTGCTTTCTCAGGCATCTTAGCAAGGAGCTGGATCAGAAAGGGAGCAGCCGGGGGCCAGCGCTGTGGTGTGGCCTGAAGTGCTGGCATCCCACATGGGCGCCAGTTTGAGACCCAGCTGCTCTACTTCGATCCAGCTCTCTGCTATGGCCTGGGAAAGCAGTGGAAGATGGCCCAAGTCCACGGGCCCCTGCACCCGCGTGGGAGACCCAGAAGCTCCTGGCTCCTGGCTTTGGATCGGCACAGCTCCAGCCGTTGCGGCCAGTTGGGGAGTGAACCATCAGATGGAAGACCTCTCTCTCTCTCCTCTGCCTCTCCTTTCTCTGTGAATCTGACTTTCAAGTAAATAAATAAATATTAAAAAAAAGAAGAAGAAGAAAAGAAATGGAGCAGCCAGGACTGCTCATGGGATGCCAACACTGTATAGCTTTACTCGCTATGACACCGCACCAGCCCCATCTTCGGTAATTTTTAAAAAGAAAGTGTAAGATGGGTGTTTTGGTGCAGTGGGTTAAGCTGCCATTTGGCATTCCCATATTGGAGTGCCTGGATCAAGTCCCACCTCTGTGTTGATTCAGCTCCCTGCTAATGTGCCTAGGAGGCAGCAGATGATGGTTCAATCCTGTGTGGGAGATGTAGATAGAGCACTATGCTCCTGGCTTCACCTGGACTTGTCCCAGCTGTTGGTAACATTTTGAGAATGAACCAGCAGAGGGAAGAACTCTGTCTCTGTCACTCTGCCTTTCTAATAAATAAAATTAATAAACAAAAAAATTAAAAGGGCAAGGAGGGGTTTTCTCTTCTAACAAAATACTTTTCCTAAACATAGTAACAATTACAGACTTCTCATTACAAATTTACCTCTTTTTTTTTAAGATTTATTTATTTGAAAAACAGAGTTATAGAGAGGCAGAGAGAGAGAGAGAGAGAGGTCTTCCACCTGCTGGTTCACTCACCGAATGACCACAACGGCCAGAGCTGGGCCAATCTGAAGCCAGGAGCCAGGAGCTTCTCTGGGTCTCCTACATGGGTGCAGGGGCCCAAGCACTTAGGCCATCTTCTGCTGCTTTCCCAGGCCATAGCAGAGAGCTGGATGGGAAGTGGAGCAGCAAGGACTTCATATGGGATGCCAGCATTGCAGGCGGCGGCTTTACTTGCTATGCCACAGCGCTGGACCCCACAAGTTTACTTCTTTGACCTCATGTCATTGCAGGGAAGCCAAAGACTGGTGTTGAACAGGAGCTGGTGATAGTTGAGATAAACTCCCCTGGGTATGCTCAAATATAGCAAAATTAAATCCAGAGTGTAGTCCACAAGATGTTGGAGCAAAGAGGTGGAGGAAGAGTGTGGCGAGTGGGCCAGGGGACATGAGCGAGGACAGAATGGGTACAGAAGTGCCCGTGTTCCTTCCCTGGCCCGGGATGTGAAGAGCCACACCAGAGCACGAGTCCCGAGTTTGCCTCACACTTAAGCAAATGTGCCTGATCTTAAGGGGTTTTATATGGACTGGGCTCAATGCTGTCTCACCCTGTAAAATATAAGTTGGAGCCTCTAAGGGAAATTGGCTTTGACAGCCTGCTCCCTTCTCATACCCCTGCTCCTAGCACAAGGGCAGAGAGGGTTAGGTTTTTCAGAACCTGTGAGGTATTGGTCACTTTTGCACAGTAAGTGTTCCCTATAGTCTAGGAGTCCTGTGTTACAGACTGGAAGTCAAGACTCGGAGAAGTTCATCTGTCCCTTTTAGTAAACAGCAGAGGTAGGATTTACATCCAGATCTGATTCTGGAGCCTATGAAAGAATAAAAGTAATCGTGGCAAACAGCCTGGAAATGTCTCACTAAAAGGAGATGTAATAGCTTAGGTGACAACTTAGAAAAAGTTGACAGAACTGAACATCAGTCAGAAGTCAAAGCTTAGGCACTAATCTGTTTCTGTTGCCTCTGCAGAGAAAAGACAGAGGGGAGGCAGCTGTTGGTCCTGGAGGCTGCCTCCCGGCATCAGAGCATACCCTGGAATCCTCTCAGTCGGTGAGTACAGAACTGCTGGCGTCCTGGACTTCACCATTGCCATGCCATCAGACAGTTGACCTGCTTATCAGAGGCTCTCTTTTGTACTAGATCTATAGTAGTTTGAAGTTGAGATGGTTGACTCAGTGTAAAATTGTTTTCTTGGTATCCTTCCTTCACTAGAAGCTTCAAGGATACTGTTTGTGCCTGAACTCATAGTTGTGGTTAAAAAGAATGTGAAGCATTCCCTCTCAGCTCCTACAGCTCAGCTGGGCTGGCACAGTATCCTGCTGGAATTCCACCATCTGTTCAAACAGCAGGAGGGACCTGACACCCCCACCCCACCCCCCGTCAACAAAGTGAAACGGCTGCCCAAATTCTGGAGCATATACATTTGGTGAGATCAGGTTCCAAAACATTTGAAGGCATTAGTTCCCAGTCTCTACAAATGTTTCTCTGCAAAAACACACAGTGGTGAGTTTTTCATTTTTAGGATAAAGTATTCATTAGGTCATGAACTCAAGGAATTTTTTGGACCTTGGAAGAGCTGACATTCTGTGGAGGGGCTTCAGCATGCTGCTGCAATAAATTCCTTGCTTTTTATTTGTATACAGTTTGTTATGAGCCAGGACTGGGAATAAACTAGGCTTAGTAGTGAGTAAGAATATTCCACTTGTAGTGCAAATAGGAGTCCTTAGCTTGAGATGCTTGCAATGCTGGTTGAGTTTTGGTAATGCTAATCTTCTTGATGTTCCTTCATATTGGAACCACAGACACTTATCCTTTAAAAAAATTTATGTTAAAGGAGTCAGGAAGGGTGGTAGAGACAGAGGTCTCCATCTGCTGATTCTCCCCAGATGGCCGTGATGGCCAGTGCTGGGACAGGCTGAAGCCAGGAGCTTCTTCTGCATTTTCTACATAGGTAGCAGGGGCCCAAACAGTTGGGCCAGCTTCCACTGCTTTTCCCAGGCCATTAGCAGGGAGCTGGTTCGGAAGTGGAACAGCTGGGACACAAACCAGCCCCCATAAGGAATGCTGGCATCTCAGGCGGTGGCTTTACCTGCTATGCCAAATCACCAGCCCCCAGATACCAGTCTTTCCCAGGTGTTTCCTTGTGTGCAGACAAGTGGAACTCCTTGGGTTTTTGTGATTGAGACAACCATATTTTTAAAAATTATTTTTACTTATTTGAAAGGTAGACTGGGACATAGATCTCCTATCTGCTGATTCACCCCAAATATCCACCCAACCGGAGCTGGATCAGGCTGAAACCAGGAGCCCCAAATCAGTCCAGTTCTTCCATGTGGGTGGCTTAGGACCCAAATATATTTTTTTAAAGATTTATTTATTTTTATTTGAAAGTCAGAGTTACACAGAGAAAGGAGAAGTAGAGAGAGAGAGAGGTCTTCCATCCACTGGTTCACTCCCCATTTGGCCACAACAGCTGAAGCTGTGCTGATCCGAAGCCAGGAGTTTCTTCCAGGTCTCCCACACAGGTGCAGAGGCCCAAGGACTTGGCCCATCTTCTATTGCTTTCCCAGGCCACAGCAGGAAGCTGGATCGGAAGTGGAGCAGCCGGGTCTCAAACTGGCACCCATATAGGATGCCAGCGCTTCAGGCCAGGGCGTTAAACCACTGCGCCACAGCGCCAGCCCCTGGACCCAAGTATTTAAGCCATTGCTTGCTACCTCCCAGGGTGCACATTAGCAGGAAGGTAGAATCCGAAGCCGAGCCAAGACTGAAATCCAAGGACTCCATTGTGGGACGTGGGTGTCTCAAGTGGTGTCTTAACTGTTGTACCAAACACCCACCCCAGCCATATTTTCTGAAACTTTTTATTTACATAGTTGATCACCAATAGATAGTTGTGACATTGTCAATTAGGTTTCTATTAGTTAAGTGGTAGTAGACCTCCAATTTTGCTGTAACTTGGCAGGAAAGGATATAACATAAAGCAGCTTGGGAAGCAAATTGGCTTCAAATCTATCTGCAAGATAAGGGGGGTGAAGACATTTCATAAAAATAAAAGTTATCATTTGTTCTTCCTACTGGAACTTGCTGGCCAGTAGTTATCTTTTTTTCCTCTGTGTGTGAGGAAAGAAAAGACAGTTTCCACCTGTGGCTCCTTTGGAGCAATGAGTAAGCCCAGGGGCACCCCTGCTATCACTCTGGCTGTTTTCTGATCTGTTACTTTTCCCTCAGGGTTTTGGACTGAGACCCATCCCCTGCCTGCACACCTGCTTTGACCCATCTCCCAGCCATGTGTGAAGCCTGTCCTTGGAGGGTGGTTTTAGAGGACGGTTTGTGCTCCGTTCAGTTTTTTTTTTTTTTTTTTTTTGACAGAGTAGACAGTGAGAGAGAGAGAGACAGAGAGAAAGGTCTTCCTTTTGCCGTTGGTTCACCCTCCAATGGCCGCCGCGGCCAGCGCGCTGCGGCCGGTGCACCACGCTGATCCGATAGCAGGAGCCAGGAGCCAGGTGCTTTTTCCTGGTCTCCCATGGGGTGCAGGGCCCAAGCACCTGGGCCATCCTCCACTGCACTCCCTGGCCACAGCAGAGGGCTGGCCTGGAAGAGGGGCAACCGGGACAGAATCCGGCGCCCCGACCGGGACTAGAACCCGGTGTGCCGGCGCCGCAAGGCGGAGGATTAGCCTAGTGAGCCGCGGCGCCGGCCTCCGTTCAGTTCTAAACACAAATCTTCCCATTAACTCCAGTTTCCAGTGTTTTACACCACAAGAGAATCAGTCCTCCGAGGCAGGGCTTTGGCCCACTGACTAGCTTGCTGCCTCAGTCACAAAATGGAATCCAGTCATATGTTCTTAGCTTTAAAAGAAATGCTTAATTTTCCTAATCATGGACTTAGTTAAAATATTCTCAGCCACCTTTACTGCTAATCTGTGCTACCAGTTGCTCTGTTTACTTTGAGCCTCAAACAATGACCATTAATCAGCCTTTCCACCTGCCTCATTCATATTCCACCTGGAATGCTGGTTCATAATTCTTCACAGTCCTGTAGCACTTTAGCATTACAGAGCCTTCTCACATGTTTATTTGCGAGGTAGGTATTAGCCTAGTTTAGAAAGAAGGAAATGAGTGTGAGGAAAGGCTGAGACTTCTAAAGGACAGTGCTGTTAGGTGGCCCAGCTGGTCCCTGGAGGCAGGGCTTCCGCCTCCCACGTGAGCGCTTCCCTCTGTTATGCTCTGGCACAGCCAGCCTGGTAGAGGGAGAGATGCATCTGAAACCTAATAGCTTCTTCTCTTTGTAGACTGAGGACATCTCTAAGGACCTCTACATAGAAGTCTACCCAGGGACCTATTCTGTCACTGTGGGCTCAAGTGACTTCACCAAGAAGACTCACGTGGTAGCGGTGGATTCGGGACAAAGTGTGGACTTGGTCTTCCCAGTATGATGGTGACCGTCACTGCCATCACCTCTTTTTAAGTAGCAAGAATAAAGCCATGGTCTGATCCTTGTAGTAGTTAACACATTACTACTGCTTTTAGTGCTGATTGCACAGGGCCAGTCTTCCAGTGAACTGGCCTCTGCTTCTTTTGGTGGCTGCTTTGATATGTACAAGTCCCCATCCTTGTTGATTGAAATAATGTGATGATGCTGTCTCAACAGTTTTTATTGCTTGCTTTCCAAGGAAAGACTAACTATGATAATAAAGGGAGAGATTTGGAAATGAAGAGAATTCATTTGTATTTGCATTTACAGGTACAACACACTGTCACCCACATGTAACTGTAGGCTTCATGAGAAGATGGCAGAGAGGCTGTGGACACATCTGCCCCAAGCAGGCCGACCACACTCTGTCGCAGCCGTGAATGGGGCATCCTCATGCAGAATCGTCAGCTCCCTGTGGCAGAGCGCCCTGGGATGGGGCTGCCATACTCCCATGCCCCTCATGACAGATGCCTTCTGGCCGCTCGTCTGCAGGGAAGTCTTCACGGGGTGCAGCTGCTGCACTTGTAGCCTGTGCTCTTCCTCCTCCTGTGGAGAGCATCCCTGTCAGCCACTGTCTGTAGTGCCTCCTCAAGTATTTACCATCATTATTTTTATTCCTGTAAGAGAAAAATCTCAAGGATCAAAAGTCACTGATTTGGGGGCCAGCACTGTGGCACAGCAGGTTAAGCTGCCACTTGTGGTGCTGTATCAGAGCGCTGGTTCTAGTCCTGGCTGTTCCACTTCCAACTCTCCCTGCTAATGCACCTGGGAAAGCAGCAGGTGATGGCTCAAGTGCTTGAGCCCCTGCACCCTTGTGGGAGATCCAGATGGAGTTCCTGGCTCCTGGTTTTGCCCTGTCCTAGTCCTAGCAGTTGCAGCCATTTAGAGAATAAACCAGTGAGTGAAATCTGTCTGTCCCTCACTCTCTGTTGCTCTGCATTTCAAATAAATTTTTAAGTCACTTTTTTTTAAAAGATGTATTCACTTCTTTGAGGGCAGAGTTAAAGAGGGCCTCCATCCACTGATTCATTCCCCAAATGGCCACAACAGCCAGAGCTGGGCTGATCTGAAGTCAGCTTCTTCCCGGTCTCCCACACAGGTGCAGCTGCCCAAGCACTTGGGCCATCTTCCACTGCTTTCCCAGTCCATAAGCAGAGAGCTGGATGAGAAGAGGAGCAGTCAGGACATGAACCAGCACCCATATGGGATGCCAGTGCCTCAGGCAGCGGCCTAACCTAGTACACCACAGTGCTGGCCCCAAGTCACTGGCTTTAAAAGTCATTGATGTGTCCCAAACTTCCTTAAGCCACCATACTAACAGTATGATTGCCTCTGACAGTTTAGTTCATCTAATGTAGTTAAGTGTTGCCTTGGTAGATATGCTAGTATTTTATGTGTTGAAAATGGCAGTCTATGTACAGCTGTAATAGCATTCCTGGTTTGGAATAGACTTATAGATACAGGGTCTGGTAAAGCAAGCCTGTGCCCAACACCATAGGGCAGAAAGTCATGGAAATGGAGAGCCTTCTCCCCTCCCCCACCCCTGAAGCCTGTGGTGAACCTGAGGATTCTCGAAGCTTCTGAAGTCACGTGCAAAGTTCTGAGTATGTCCTGTTTTCCAGGAAAAGGACTGTGGATTTTATTGTTCTCAAAGTGGGTGTGGCCCAGAAGTTCTAAGAGCCACGCGAGGAGTCAAGGAGCCCCTTCCCAGCCATCCTGCTTTACCTAGATCCTCCGAGCTTTGTCTAGGGCGAGTTCTTGTCCCTGTGATATGTTCCTGTACTCGGCCTTCGGCGTCCAGCTTCCTCCGGCAGGGTCTGTGGTAGCTTCACATTGCTGGCTCTCAGGGCCAGCTCCGTGGCAGTCCCCATTACTGCAGGTGGCACTTTCTCCTGCTTAGTGTCCTTCTCTTCCTTTCGGATGGTGCAAGATCTTGTTCCTAAACCCAAAATCCGTTAGTTATGTTGAATACGCCATCATTTTGATAGGATTATTATTTGAGAAGCAGAGAGGAAAAGTTCCCATTCACTCCCTGAAATGCCTACAATGGCCCTAGGCCCCTGGGCTGAAGCTAGGAGCTGGGAACTCGATCCAGGTCTCCCATATGGGTAGCAGGGATTCAGTTACCTGAGCTGTTACAACTGCCTCCCAGTCTCATCAGCAGAAAGTTGGAGGAGCCAGGAATCAAACCCACATACTAAAATACGGGACGGGGGGCATCTTTTAATTAATTTGAAAGAGTTATGCAGAGAGAGAAGTAGAGAGAGAGAGAGCTTCCATCTGCTGGATCACTCCCCAGTTGGCCACAACAGCTGGAGCTACACTGATCCAAAGCCAAGAGCCAGGAGCTTCTTCCAGGTCTCCCACATGGGTGCAGGGGCCCAAGGACTTGGGCCATCTTCTACTGCTTTCCCAGGCCATAGCAGAGAGCTGGATCGGAGGTGGAGCAGCTGGGACTTGAAATGGTGTCCATATGGGATGCCAGTATTGCAGGCAGTGGCTTTACCTGCTACACCACAGCGCCAACCCCAATGGGACGTGGGCATCTTAAGCAGTAAGCAAAACACCCACCCTGGAATTAATCTTGATGGCAAGTCACGTATCAGAGATCACCAGATCTCAAGCATCTGTAAGCTCCTAGTATTGTTTTGCATTTTTAAAGAGAAATAATATTTGTTAATCATTTCTGGCCATTGTGCTTTAGAGTAAGGGGTATTATCAGATACCCAGATTTCGAGTTGGGGAGAAACAGTTATCAGCTTTTTCAAAGAGCTCTGGGGAGGGGGCGGTGTTGTGGAGTAGTGGGTAAAGCTGCTGCCTATAACACCAGCATCCCATATGGGCGCTGGTTCATGTCCTGGCTGCTCCACTTCCCATTCAGCTCCCTTCTAATAGCCTGGGGAAAAAAGGGGAGGAGACCCTTTCAGTCCTTGGGCCCCTGCCACTGACATGGGAGACCCAGAAGCAGCTCCTGGTTCCTGGCTTCAGCCTGGCCCAGCAGTGGCTGTTGTGTCTGGGGAGTGAACCAGCCGATGGAAGATATCTGTCTCTCCCTCTCTCTGATTGACTTTCAAATAAATATTTAAAAAAGAAAAATGGAAAAATGCCAGTGGGGGAAGCAAAGATGGGTTACTGCCTCCCGTTGCGGAAGCTTCTCCTTTACTGAAGTATCAGAACTGATAATGCTGATCACAGGGAGAGCCGGGGGCTGGTGCTGCGGTGCCGCAGGTGAAGTCACCGATTGTGATGCTGGCATCCTATCCTGGAGTACCAATTTTCTCAGATACCGTGCTCCAGTTCACCTCCCTGCTAATGGCCTGGGGAGGCAGCAGCAGATGGCCCAAATGCTTGTACCCCTGCTCCCTCTGTGGGAGACGAGAATGGAGTTCCAGGTTCCTGGCTTCAGCCTGGCCCAGACCTGGCTGTGGCAGCCATTTTGGTAGTGAACCATTGCATGGTATATTCTTTCTGCCTTTCAAATAAAATCTTAAAAGGAAAAGAAAAGAAAATAAGCTGGTAGGAAAATAAGCTTTAAGAAATTCAATTAGACGAAATAAAAATCCTAGGAGATGGGAACAGTCTAAAAAGACAACTTTTAAGACTACACGTTGAATCCTGTTCCAGTCAAGCTGAGGAGGAGAGCATTATGACTGCTGGCCATCAGCAGCCCAGTCTCCCTAGGATTGTTAGGATCATTGGCCTCTCACTGTAACCGAAGGGAATGAAAGTGGAGGAGATTTCATAAGAGGCCGAGCGCAGGACTGACTATCAAAGCATCAGTGCTTGACAGGACTCCTATCAAATACATCTAGCACTGATTAACAGACATATTTAGGAGAGGCTGGCAGCACATTTCCCTAAAGGGAAACAGGCCGGAGGGGAGCAAAGGCAAACTCCGGTGTTTGCCCTTGTGTTCAGCCCTGAGCCACACGTGCCTCTGTGTGCTTCATCTTCACTAGGTAGCTGTGGCTGGCAGTACCGCACCTACCGTTGGGGCAAGACGGGCATCTTCCTGGCGTGAGCGGTCCTTCAGCTACCGAGCAATAGGGCAGTGGCTTCAAACTAGGTCCCAGAGTGGATCCCAGTGTGGCCGGTGCCTGAAGGCCATTCAGCCTTCCAGCATGCCTTCCCAGCACAGAGAGCAGAGCCATGTGAAGGGCGTGGCATAGACACACACACACTTAGGACAGGTGTGAGGCAGATCAATGAGATGCTGCTCCCAGCCCTCCATACTTTTCAGCTCCTGGCAGAGAAATTTGGGGAAGTCTGAAGACTGCCGAGGGGAACTTAACACTGCTTCCCCTCCTAGTAGTGAGGAGTGAGCAGCACGGGGGCTGGCGTTGTGGTAGAGCAGGTAGAGCCACCGTCTGCAACACCAGCATCCATACAGGAGTTGGTTTGAGTCCCTGCTGCTCCACTTCCGATCCAACACCCTCTTAATGGCCTGGGAAAACCAGCAGAGGATGGCCCAGGTGCTTGGGCCCCTGCACCCACGGAAGAAGCTCCTGGCTTTGGCCTGGCCCAGCTCTGGCCATTGTGGCCATGTGGGGAGTGAACCAACAGATGGAAGAACTCTTGTCTCTGATTCTCCCTCTAACTCTAAATAAATAAATAAATAAATAAATGGCAGCATTAGACAGTGTCCTGGTTCTTGTCACTCCAACTAAGGGGCCAGTGGGACAGCAGGGCCTGGCAGGCCTTGTTGAATGACCAGTTCCTGTGCTGCTCAGAGCACTGACCTGGGGGCATTTTGACTGTTCATCTAGAGAAAAACCAGTGCTTCCAGGGGAAAAGGGGAGGAGCAAAAACAGACAATGGCAGTGCCTTGTTGGTAGAGATTAGCAAAGAAAGAGACAAATAGTAAGTAGGAGTGCACACCTCAGCACAGAGATCAGTGCCTCCTCCTCTCACTGGCCTGCGAGTCAGCAAAAACCTGCCACTTCCCTTTCTCAGGGTCTCCCATGTGTCGCAGTCCCAACAGAAAGCACCCTCTCCCACGAGACACAGGAGGGAAGGGACGACCCACGCTTTCGGTGTACCTGGCTTCCCGGGCCGCGGCTCGGGTCCGTTTCTCCTCCAGTACCTCCACTCGGGCTGCCCAAGGGCAGCCTGCCTCCGAGACTTCTCGAAGACGGGTTCTGTGTGGACTGCGCGGTTCACCGTCAGGGTCTGGGGAAGGCCCCTGTCCAGATCAGTGTCCAGATCTTCCTCTTCAGTGGAGGAGGAGGAGGAAGAGGAGGAGGAAGAGACAGCCACCGGGGCCTGCACTGCTGCCGCCTTCTCCGTGGAACCCTCCAGGGGCAAAAGCTGGCCTGTGGACTTCAGCTTGGACTCAGCAAGCTCTCTACCTGAGACCTTGGAGGTCCTGGTTACGGGCCACCAGGTGGGGCCACCCAAGGGGGAGCAGCAGAGGCAGCCCTGGCACAGCAGAGGGCAGCAGGCGCGGGGGTGGCAGGGAGGGCACAGGAACTGCGTGCCCGCAGGAAGCCCGCTGGTGATGCATCCGGCGACCGGCCCCAGCAGAGAGCAGCATGGGGCCCAGAGGAGGGGCCGGAGGTGCTCTCTGGGGACAGGCTTGTGCAGCCTCTCCACAGCCTTCCTCCAGACAGCTGGGGGCACCCACCGGACCCCACCTTGAGGCACCTTAGCTGTCAGGCCATTCCAGAAATGAACAGTGATTTCTTCTTCCTCTGATGCTAAGGAAAAGAAAAGGGGTAAGGCTTATGGTGGGGTAAGGTGGTCCTATCCCCAAGAGAAAGCCTCCGCCACCGCTCTGCTCTGTCTCCCAGCTTCTCACAGGCACCTGTCCACGGGGGAGCCTACTGGGAGCATCTCCCCACCCACGCCCCTTCCCCTCTCTCCCCGGAGACTTGCACAAGCCCACCTGCCTCCTGGGCCAGATGACCTGGAGGGGCCCATCCCCCACCTCAAACCAACATGTGCTCAGTGAAAGCCCCCTCCTGTCCTCTCGGGTTCCCAGTGGCCCCTGCTCCCCTCAGCAGAGGACCATTAGTTTCTGGAGGACTCGCTCCTGAGACCTGGTGAGACCCCAGGATAATGCACCCCACTGTGATTTAGGCCACTGACCTAGTAGTGAAGACCACTTTCCCTGATTTAAAAAATAAAAAGTCTGCAAGATAGGATTTGTGTATCTGCGGCTGCCCCAGGATGAAGCAACAAGTTAAGGGGGTGAGGATCATTTCCTTAAAGCTGCTGAAGAGACCCCCTTTGCTCTCTCCTCTGGCCTGATCGCCAGCCTGGCTCCTCCTGGGGACTGAGTGGTCGGGGCAGCTTCCCTCACCTCTCATGGAGTCAGTCATCTCCAAGCCCAGCAAAACAGTGCCAGGGCCGTAGCGCTGTCGGTCTGGCTCCCAGGGTGCCAGCACCTTGTCCCCAGTTCTCAGTGAGTAGTCCACGGATCGTGGGAGCTGAATGACATCTTCCTCCGAGACCACACTCAGCTGTGGGGCGGGCAGCTTTGGGCCTGTGACAAGGGGAACTTCAAATTCCACAAGCAGAGTCCCCTGCTGCTCCAGCTATGGGAAAGAAAACACTCACGGTGATACAATGAGGCATTGATGGTACATCATGGGGGGGCGGGTGTTGTGGCACAGTGGGTTGAGTTGCCACTTGGGATTCCTACATCCCCTATCAGAATGCCAGTTGGAGCCTGGGCTGCTCCACTTCTTTTTTTTTTTTTAATTTATTTATTTAGTTGAAAGAGTTACACAGAGAGAGAGTAGAGGCAGAGAGGCAGAGAGAGGTCTTCCATCTGCTGATTCACTCCCCAGTTGGCCACAATGGCCAGTGCTGTGCTGTTCTGAACCCAGGATCCAGGAGCTTTTTCTGGGTCTCCCATGTGGGTGCAGGGGCCCAAACACTTGAGCCATCTTCTACTGCTTTCCCAGGCCATAGCAGAGAGCTGGATCAGAAGAGGAGCAGCCAGGACTCGAACCGGCGCCCATATGGGATTCCAGCACTGTAGGCAGAGGCTTTACTCACTATGCTACAGCCTAGCCCCTGCTCCACTTCTGATCCTGCTTCCTGTTAATTTGCCTGAAAGGCAGCTGATGATGGCCTGAATATTTGGATTCCTCCATCCACACGGGAGACCCTGAGGAATGGCTGGCTCCTGGCTTCAGCCTGGTCCAGTCCTGGTTGTTGCAAGCATTTGGGGGAGTAAATCAGCAGAGAGAAGATCTCCAGGGGCCAGAGCAGATAGAATCAGCAGATAGAAGATCTATGCCACAGCATTGGCCCCCCAGGTCCACTTTTGAGCTTCCTGCTAATGTGCACCCTGGGAGAGAGCCATGTGATGGTTCAAGTCCTTGGGTTCCTGCCACTCATGTGGGAGACCTGGAGTTCCCAACTCCAGGGTTCAGCCTGACCCAACTGTGGCTGTTACAAGCACTGGGTAGTGAACCAACAGATGGAAGAGCAGTCTCTTAAAAGAAAAAAAAAAAAAAAAAGAACTGGGATCACTCAGTTCCCTACAAGTCCCCAGAAAGAGGCCATTTGAAAGAAGGGACAGGGCCAGTGCCGCTGACAGCAGAGAGCTGGACTGTGGGACTGCTGATCTTCATTCTGTTTCTTCTCACCCTGGGCAACTCTTTTTATCACTTCCTTTCCCTTTCCATCCTCTGCCTTTTCCTGTTTTTCTTTCCTCCTACTCAATTTTTTGGCTTGCAATTCCCAGGAGTAACCTGGCTCCTCGGAATCTTTCCCCAGTGCACTCTCTCCCCCCTGACACTGCTAAGTTTTGTTCCTATGTCAGAGACCAACAAGGTTTGGCTGATTATTCATCCAGGGGCCCACAAAGGGCAAAGTGATGGAGATGGGGCAGGCCTGAAGAAAGCTACAGTCAAGCAAAGGAATAGCATAAAAGCAGTAGAGGTACTTAAGCTGGTTTGAGTATAGAAACTATTGGAGCAAAACTCTTTTTTAAATTTTTATTTATTTGAAAGGTGCAGAGAGAGAAGGGGGGAAGGAAGGGAGGAAGGGAGGAAAGAAAGGAGGGAGGAAGGGAGGAAGGAAAGGAGGGAGGGAGGGAGGGAGGGAGGGAGGGAGGGAGGGAGGGAGATGGAGAGATCTTCCATTTGCTGGTTCACTCCCCAAATGCCTGCAACAGCCATGAGCCTGGAACTCCATCTGGGTCTCCCACATGGGTGGCAGAGACCCAAGTACTTGAACCATCACCTGCTGTCTCCCGGGATCAAATTATCAAGAAGCTGGATCAGAAGTGGAGTTTGGTTTCTTGGATAGGGAAACCTAATTCTCAAAAAAATATGAATGACAGAATTTCTGTTTAAAAATCAGTCGACCAGTGCTGTGGCATAGTAGGCTAAGCTTCTGCCTGCCGCCCCAGCATCCCATATGGGCACTGGTTCGTGTCCCAGCTGCTCCTCTTCTGATGCAGCTCTCTGCTTATAGCCTGCAAAAGCAGTGGAAGATGGACCAAGTGCTTGGGCCCCAGTACCCACATGGGAGAGCTGGAAGCTCCTGGTTCCAGGCTTCAGATCGGCCCAAGTGCTGGCCGTATGGCCACTTGGGGAGTGAACCAGTGGATGGAAGAGCTTTCTCTCTGTCTCTCCCTCTGTCTGTAATTCTGCCTCATAAATAAATAAAATCTTTAAAAAAAATCATTGTCATTGAATGGAAATTCTATCATTAATACTTTTTGAGAATTCCCATTAGCCTTTCCTCCATGAATCCACACAAGTCTACACAGCTATAACAAACTTAACACTCACAGATACTACAAGTTCGCTTCTACAGCCCGGCCATTGAAGGTCTGTGCCCATCCAAGAAACCAAACCGCTGGACACACATAACTAAGGCACATCAGGTAAGACAGGGCCACCTACAGAGCGTGACAGGGAGATACTGGGAGTCAGGGACTTGCCTCTGGAGCAGCCTTTATCTGAGCCCAGTAATAGAAACCATCTGGTTCCCTCCTCGCCAAGACCCGGGTATCAGCAGCATCTCCAGCTCTTCCCAGCCAGCCCGACCCCTGCCATGCTGGGTCAGCAATGTGGATACACGAGTGATAGGAGGCACACCTGGAAGAAAGCAAAGGAAATTAGAGGGTGGGAACCTGCAAGCCCCAAAAGCATGAAGCTCAGAGCCAGCACTGTGGCCCAGTGGTTAAGCTTCTGCCTAGGGTGCCTGCTTCCCATATGAGCACCGGGTCCCAGCTGCTCTGCTTCCAGTTCAGCTCCCTGCTAATGCACCTGGGAAGGCAGTGGAAGATGGCCCAAGTGACTGGGCCCGCCTGCCACCCATGTGGGAGACTCAGATGGAGCCCAGTCTCCTGGTTTCAGCCTGGACCAGCCCTGGCCATTGTGGCCTTTTGGGGAGTGAACCAGCAGACAGTAGATCCATCTCTCTCACTCCCTCTCTAACTCTGCCTTTACATGACTAAAATAAATCTTTAAGAAAAAAAAAAAAAAAACAAATCATGAAGATCTACATCTCGGTCAGATCTGAGGAGCACCACAGTGTATGTAGGACACACAGGGTATGTGGGACAGAAATCCAGAGAGAAGGTAGCAATCCGTGACTGTGCTAAGATGAGGTCAACTTTTAATGGGCAGGAGGTGAGGACAATAAAGGGGTCTTTGTCTGTGAATGGGGAATTGTTGCAAGCTAGCTGAAATGCAATTAGCCCGGATATAAACAAGTTAACTAATGCTTGTTCTGGGACAACAGTCCCTGAGAGAGTTAGGGGAGGTAGATGTGAAGGTGTGTGTGATTCCGGGACAGGGCGTGGAAGCTGGGATGGCAGCTGATGGGGCAAACTCGGTGCTGTGGCGGCGGAGGGGATGAGGAAGTGCCGGAGGAGGAGCTGCCCAGAGAAGTCGACTGCTGGGCCCGTGGGACAGAAAAGGAGAAGCCGGTTCTGGGAAGTTTTGTGGGCAGGGCCAGCTGCTGAGTCAGGGTCTGGGTTTACTTTGTGGGCAAGGCTGGGAACAAGGCTGCTTAACTCTGGCCTGGAACGGGTGGGTCCTCACAGGTGAATCAGGACAGGAGTGACTCAAGACGGCCCGGCCGCCATGTCCACGCCCTGGGCAGCGGAGCTGAGCAGCACGGGCTCAAGTCCCTGCGAGGCCCACACTTTGGGTCTGTGGAGGCGGCTCCTTTGCTCTCTTAACAGTCACAGCTGACTGGGCTGCTGCTCAGTAAACTCCCGGACAGGTGAGGCTTGCTGAGGGCGCCCGAGGGCCCTGGAGGGCCTACTTTAGTTGTTGGTTGCAGGAGCTCTGATTTCTCCTGTGGGACCACAGCAAGTTTCAGAGTTGATGGAAAAGGAGCTAGAAATGTTGTAACTCGGTAGCATTGTGGTGAAGTGGGTAACATCGCTGTGTGAGCCACTGCCATCCCACAGGGGCGCCAGTTTGAACCCCGGCTGCTCCACTTCTGATCCAGCTCCCTGCTAATGTGCCTGGATAAGCAGCAGAAGACAGCCCAAGTGCTTGGGTCCCTGCATCCACATGCAAGACGCGGACGAAGCTCCTGGTTTCTGGTTTTGGATCGGCCCAGCTCGGGCCGTTGTGGCCAATTTGGGGGGTGAACCAGTGGATGGAAGACCTCTCTGTCTCACACTCGCTTTGTAACTCTGCCTTTCAAATAAATAACCTTAAAGAAGAAGAAGAAAGTTGTAACTGCTCACCCCTGTCCTCTCACGCATGCCAGCTGCGATGTTCCCGGTAGAACAAACCAGGTCAACCTGGGTGTCACCAGGAGTTTTTTTTTTTTTTTTTTTTAAAGATTTATTTACTTGAAAGTCAGAGTTACACAGAGAGAGGAGAGGCAGAGAAAAGAGAGAGGAGAGGCAGAGAGAAGAGAGAAGAGAGAGAGAGAGAGGTCTTCCATCCGATGGTTCACTCCCCAGATGGCCGCAACAGCCAGAACTGGGCCTATCCAAAGCCAGAAGCCAGGAGCTTCTTCTGGGTCTCCAGGGTGGGTGCAGGGGCCCCAGCACTTGAGCCATCTTCTACTGCTTTCCCAGGCCATAGCAGAGAGCTGGATCGGAAGTGGAGCAGCCGGGACTAGAACCGGTGCCCATATGGCCAGGGCATTAACCCACTGCACCACAGCGCCAGCCCCAGGAGTAGTTTAGGCTGGAGTAAAATACTCACAGCCCATACACATAATAAGCCAGATAGTAACAAGCCCTCGCAGCCCTCCCAGGAAGAAATTTCTTTCCCTGCTGCCGGCAGGAACACAGGACAAAGCAAAGGGTTTGCTTCCCGCTGGAGGCAGAGACAGTACCTTGAGAGGGGGTTGTGCCTGCTGAGCCACGGCGCTCGGAGAGCCCAGGGGCAGGCCAAGGCGAGATCCCAGGGTGGTGCAGCACAGTCCCAGCCGGGGGCCTTCAGGGCTGTGGCCACGCTGCAGTATTTGGGTAAAGGCGCCCCTGGCCCGGCGGAGTCCATGGCGTTTGAAGAAACACCTGAGAACAAGCCCTGCGGTTACCTGAGCTGCCATCCACAGCGCCTCAGAGGGTGCCCAGGTGGGGCGGGCGGCGCCCGGCTCCAGGTGCAGCCACGCGGACCCCCGCCTGCACAGACACGCCAAGTTTCTCCTCTCAATCACCTGCCCTGAGAAGCCCAGCTCAAGAAGGGGCCCGGGGCCGGCTCTGTTACACAGGAGCAGCTGCAGATCCTTCTCGGCCCGCCCGGCCGCTGATCCACTCAGCCCCTGCGCTTGGGCTCAGGCCAGAATGCACCTGGCATAAACGTGGCTCAAGCTGTTTTCCCTCCTTCTTGTCCTTAGCCGCAGCGACTCCTGCCATTAAGACAGCTCTTCCCAACCCGGGTCACCTACAGGACTGGGTGTGGCCCCAGCAGAGCTGGCCTCAGGGCCAGGGCCTCCCTCCGCAGACCCGGGCAGCTGACCCCTAGGAGCCCAAGGGCAAACTCCGCTGCCCCAGCCCACCAGAGGTCCGTTACTGCCCAAGTCTACAAACCTGACCCCACGGGGACTCACCCACAGCCTCAAACTCCTGGCCTCCCCCTGGGTCTCAGGCCCCTGCTGACCGTTGGGGCCCTGGGCCTCAGCTCAACTGACTCCACGCAGCCAAGCAGGTTGCCGTGGATGCGAGGCCAGCCCAGAACGCTGCGGGCCCAGCGAGGGCACTGGGCATGTGCGGAGGGGCAGAGGGGGAGGGGCCGTTCTTCACCTTTGTCTTTGAGGGGAGGAGAGGGGAAAGGAGGGGAAGGGAAGGGAAGAGGAAGGTCCACGCAGCTTCAATCCCCAGGAGCTCAGGCGGCTCACATTGGGGAGCCAAGGATCTCAGAGCAGTCCTGACCCCTCCAGAAACTCGGGCTGTTGATTTGTTTTCACCCTGAGCAAACGCGAGGCTGGGATGCGGGGAGCCGCTGGCTGGTTTGGGGACTCTAAGAACTTGTCTGGAGCTGAAAGCAAAATATGGCAAGGTGAGGACATGTTCGTAACGGGCCTCCACGGAGGAGCACAGGTGTGGTGATGCTGGGTGGCGCTGGCGCGAGTGTGTATGGATCCCGGTGACCAAGGGATCGCAAGTCCCGCTTCTGTACGGGGCAAGGCTGGCGTTCTGAGGCATCTGAGAGTCTCTGCTCGCTGGTGCTGCGCCGGACATTACGCTCCGTGAGAAGACCATGAAGAGCGGCAGACACAGCCGTGGGATGTGTCTCCCCGCTCCCTTTCCTCTTCCGCGCGTTTCCGTTTGCGGATCCGTGAGGATGAAGCGGCTGCGTGTTGCCCACCTGCAGGGCTGCACGTGTGGCCGTCAGCACCTTCTGCACCCTGGCCGCAGGGGCTGCTTAGCTTGGACACGTTGCTGAGCCTCTGCAATCGGGGTGCATCTCAAGATGCTTGTTGGGAACCCCGAGATCAGAGTCCCTTTTCTCTTTGTAATAAGTTCCCAGAGCTCCTGGCTGCCTTTTTGGGGCACCATAGCTATTCCCAGAGAGAAGACAGACCTAAAGAAAACAGGTTCTGGGGGACGGCATTGAGTCCTGCCTGTTGATGTGTGCTCCATTAACGTTTAGAACAACCATGGCCCCGGACCGTATGTCTAAAGGCTGAGTAAGAGCACACAAAGCTAGAGAATCAGACCATGGAAGTCTCTCAGGCAGTGAGCAAAGGGTTCCTCAGTGTAATGGAGAAAAGGGAAATGTTCCAGGTTATTCAGGAAGAGAGAAGGAAGCATTTGCAAGACCATCATACTCTTTTTGGGGGAGTCCAGAGAAAATCGAGACGTGGATTTTTGAGCCGGGGACAGGCTATAGGGAACTCTGAAAATCCAGCAGATGGATTTAACAACAGTAGGCAGAAGGGGATCTCCAGGTGGTTTGAGTGACGAAGTGGCATGGAATGCTTGAAGAAAGAACAGTGGAGTGAGGGAAAGCTGAGTGAGAACAGAGCCCAGGAGGCTGGAGAAGAAACTGTCAGCAGCGACCCAGACACACGTGGACAGGAAAACAGTCTCCATCAGCATTTGCTGCACCAAGCTGATTTGAGGCTCTGCTGGGTGCTAGCAATGCAGGATGAATGACTGGCCCCTGTCCTCCAGGGAGCGCCCCCTACTGAAGAACACGGAGATGGGTATCCCGGATGTGAAGACAGCAGAATCGGCAACTGCCGCAGAAATAAATCAAATCAAGGAATGGCCAGGACAGGATGCTGGGGGTGACTTCACAGAGAGACATGACATGGAGGCAAGTGTCACAGTGTGAACAAGTCCTGACTGGGCTTGGTGACATATGGGACTTGGAGTTAGGGAACAAGGCAGAGCTGAGACCCTGTGAGGGCAGACCCCAAGACATGGGGCGGGGACTGTCTCCCAGGGCTGAAGGAAAGGCTTGGCAGAAGAAGCGAATGGGGATGCTGGGGACAAAATGTGCCACGGCTGAGAACAGCGCCTATCAGAAGCAATGGTTAGAAACACCTGCGTGCCGGGCACTGGTAATCCTCATGGCGAACACGTGGAGTCTGCTCTATCCTCATCTTGTGCATGAAAAACCAAGGCCTGGAGCAGACGGAGGACGTGTTTGCACAGCCTGCCTTCTTAACCCCTACCCTTGTACTAAGCTACCTGGAGAAGTGTGTATGCAGGAGAAAGCGGCTCAGAACCAATTTCAAAGACAACAAGGCTTTGTGAACTGCTTGGGCTTTAGTCCCGAGACCCTGTCGTATTGTGACTTCTTGTCAAGCGCAAATAAATAAAAACCACCAAACTGACACATCAAGGGAGGTTCACTGTGATTGTTTCACATTGAGTGTGTGCAAGAGAGCCCAGCAAGCCCCGGGGGAGCTTGTGTGCGAGGCTGTGCGTGTCACTGTGGGAGCTTCTGGCTACAAGGGTGCCAAGGGCAGCAACAGAGAAGCCTGGGGCACCTGCTCCCCGAGAGCTCTTGAAAGAAAGGAAGCAAAGCATCTTAGTCTACTCAAGCTAACGCTTATCCAGGCAAGGAACCATGAGGGCAGCTTAGTGGCAGAGCCGCTGTCTGCTCACACACACAGAAATTACATTTAGGAAACCACGGAAGGAGGCTGTGAGGGCCCCCATTTTGTGACATTGTTCCTGTTTGGAAATCCTGAATCACATAATTCTAAAAATAGGGTCCGGGTGCCGGCTGGCGGTTGCTGCGATGGAGGACCGCGGCCCCGGGGCGTGCTTGGTGGCGGCATCGGCAGGGTGCAGGAGAGACTGCAGGAAGTTGATGTACTTGATGGCGGCCCTGAGGGTTTCCACTTTGCTGAGTCGCTTCTCCAGATACTCCTCGGGCAGGTGATGGCGGAGCTGGGCGTAGCCTGCGTTGACACACTTCACCCGCTGTCTTTCCCGCTCGTTCCTTTTCCGGATAAAGGCCGGCCCGTAGGAGTATTCACACCTGCTGTAGCTTGGATAAGGCATTGGGAAAGGGAAAGGGCAGGGCTCCCCGTAATTCTCCATGATCAGGGAGTCACTGGAAAAAGGCAGCAGTGGCAGCTCCTCGGAGTAAGGGGCTGGCAGTGGGGGCTCCGGGTACAGGTGGAAAGTGACCATGGGGTCCAGGTAGAAGGACCTGCCCAGTGGCGAGTGGGCGGGATCGGGGAAGACCGGAAGTTTATTTGGCGGATTAGAACAGCTTCTCTTGTCCATCGTTTCCTCTTTAACCTGGAAACATAACCGAGTTTTACTCATTTGGCCACTCCAAAAGAGAGCAGATATGGCGTGCTAGCTTGCGGACTAGTTCCTGACCTCATTTGGGAAATTAGATGGGGTCAGAGTATTTTGTGCGGAGCGAGAGGATTTTAATGGTACACGCACGCTGCGTTAAAAAACGCTGAATCACAGCCGGCGCCGCGGCTCACTAGGCTAATCCTCTGCCTTGCGGCGCCGGCACACCGGGTTCTAGTCCCGGTCAGGGCACCGGATTCTGTCCCGGTTGCCCCTCTTCCAGGCCAGCTCTCTGCTGTGGCCCGGGAGGGCAGTGGAGGATGGCCAAATGCTTGGGCCCTGCACCCCATGGGAGACCAGGAAAAGCACCTGGCTCCTGCCATCGGATCAGTGCGGTGTGCCGGTTGGAGCGCGCCAGCCGTGGTGGCCATTGGAGGGTGAACCAACGGCACAAGGAAGACCTTTCTCTCTGTCTCTCTCTCACTGTCCACTCTGCCTGTCCAAACAAACAAAATGCTGAATCGCCTTGTGAGAAAGCTGTTCCCCTTCCCGTTCTTTTTTGGTCCTCGTGATGGCAAAGCTAAAAGCCTTTGCTTGGTGAGAATGTGTCCTCCCCACCGCTAGTATTGCTTCGGAACCCCCTCAGGCCAAGTCTCCAACAAGCGAAGGATCTAGCTGCACTTAAATATTTTTCCGCTGACTTCTGTGAATTGCTGAGTTATACGGGTTTCACACTTACAGTAGTGATACGAAGTTTCTCTGAAAGACCCGAATTGATTTGATGAAGAGGCAAGTCAGTTGTCGTGCGGGTGGGACCCGAGCTGCTGACCAGGCAGGCCGACTCCTGAGAGCCCAGGGACAAAACCCAAAATAAATACAGGAGACTCCTTTGGTGAGCAACTCCTCCAAGACATTAAAAACTGGGTCAACTTATAACTTTTTACTTATACAGAACTTCTAAGAAGTAAAGTGCATCTCTGTTTCGGTTTTGCTGGCTTGGTTTTCACAGACCGTGAGGAGAAAGTTCTATCCCGAGAGGCCCCACACTAACCAGCACATTCCCCCTCTCTGACGAGGTCAGACTCCACCTCATTCTTTAAACCACCATTACTTCGTGCGTTTCCCCCTGGTCACGTGGCCATCGGGTTTCCAGGGGCACTGCGTGTAGCTGGTTAGCTGGGAGGCAGGCCAGCGCTGCAGGAGAAAGAGCATTGTTCTTTCAGTCTTACACCCTTGGGTGTCAGTCTTGGCTGTACCCCTGCGGAGCTGTGTGTCCTTAGGCAGATTTCCCAATCTCTTTGAGCCTCAGCTTTTTTCCGGGTCCAGTGAGATACTAAGCACTCTGCTGAGAGGCTGTGAGGACCCAAAGAAAACACAAACACAGAAACACTGCACCAGGCACAGCCGTGAGTTCTCCGCTTTCCTTTCTTCCCAGGCGAAGGCTGTGGTGCGTCCTTTCTCAGCTGCACCTGGTAGAAAACATGGCCTGTGTTCTCCCCAGGGCGGGACGTCCACGTTGATCCAGCCAACGCGTGTTTGTGGACATGTGAATAACCTAACTCGGAAAAGGAGCTGAACTCTGATCGTGGTCCCCCATGAAAGGAGGAGCGTGGCTGTTACTGTCGGAGGGGTGTGGGTTCTCAGTGCCTTTAGGAGCCACTTGTGCTGTGCACTTGGCATATAAGAAGCCGAACAAACAAAATAACTCTCCCCAAGCAGTCCTAATATTTACAAGCAAGGTTAGCCAGCACTGTCACTTGTTCGTCTACCCCAGTGTGGCGAAACTCCTGTAGGCTGCACTGGGTAATGCGGGGAGCGGCCTCTCAGGCCAGATTTCAAGTGCTTCTGAAAAGCCAGGAGGATATGGACACAGGGCGGCGGCGGCTGGGAAGGGTTATAAAAAGTTATGGTGAACCAGGCTGGAGAAGGAGGGAATGCCAGGAAAAGCTCTGCCTATGGCAGGGGAGATGAGATAAGTGGGAGAGATCCAATTAAAAAATGAAAACAGAGGAACAGGAAATGAGTTTCCAAATGACTGACCAAATGACCTAAAATAACTAACATAAAACAAAAATCTCTGGAAGATTAAAAACGGGCCAAGATTCTGTCAAAAAGAAAAAAGTTGCTGAGAGACACAAGTTAGGAAATTCCCAAGCCAGGAATTCTGCTGGGTAAAGCAGTAAAATGATGGCAGGAGGGGACGGAGCCTGCGTGACTGCAGTTCTCAGAAGAGCACAGTCTTCTTTGGCCTGTAGCTAACAAGGCAGGATTGATTCCCTAACAATGATTACCAAAAAGTAAAGCAGATGTCATCAAAGCCAATGATATAATGTCTTAAAATCTTGACCCAGAGGGGATCTGAAAAATTTGTATATGCCACAGGTAATTAGAAGTTCCTAGATTTTAACAAGCCTTTGCATAATTCTTGGAAAAAGAACATGGTGTCTTTGGAGACATATTGACAAGGTTTTCCATTGAGCATTCCCAGTAAGTTCACTAATCAATGTAGCAGCATTTAAATATGACTGCCTTTTATTCCAGTAAGAAAAAGATGACAAATGCAGCAATGAAGAGATTCAACATAGGAAGCTAGGAAGCCTGGACATGTTTGTAGAAATTGAGTACACATTTTTTTTTTTTTTTTGGACAGGCAGAGTGGACAGTGAGAGAGAGAGAGAGAGAGAAAGGTCTTCCTTTGCCGTTGGTTCACCCTCCAATGGCCGCCGCTGCAGCCGGCGCACCGCGCTGATCCGATGGCAGGAGCCAGGATCCAGGTGCTTTTCCTGGTCTCCCATGGGGTGCAGGGCCCAAGCACCTGGGCCATCCTCCACTGCACTCCCTGGCCATAGCAGAGAGCTGGCCTGGAAGAGGGGCAACCGGGACAGAATCCGGCGCCCTGACCGGGACTAGAACCCGGTGTGCCGGCGCCGCAAGGCGGAGGATTAGCCTAGTGAGCCACGGCGCCGGCCCTGAGTACACATTTTTAAATGAAAGCAATTCAGATTGTTGGTGCCAGGACTCATGTTTCCAGAAATATGCACAACTAACAAACACCTATCTCGAGAAAAATCTCAGGTTTCTGTCTTTGCGCTCTTCTGGGAAATAAATGAAGAGGTCTAAATGGTAAAATTGTGACAGCTTCTGGATGCTCTGCTGAGCATAAAAGCTTCAACTTTCAGCACCAAAAATAACTGGCATGTAAGAAACACAAAGTTACAACTACACGAATAATTGAATTTCGGCATGCCAGGGCGGGGCGAAGGTTAGAGACCTCTGCCCCAGCCTCACAGAGGCACGACAGGCTGCTACGGATGCAAAGCTGCTCGCAGAGCAGGAGCCAGACCTTGGTGTCCTGACTTCCAGACCCAAAGTCTCCGCTCCTGGAGATGATTTAATCACCAGCAAAGTTTGGATCTTTCATTCTGTGGGCCACACTTGATAGTGTAAGATAATAGAATGATCAGATAGCCGACAAAACTCCACCACTTACCAACTGTGTCTAGGGACTGTGGTTCTTCGCCCCCACCCCGCCCCCACTGGGGAGAAGTTAGTCTCTCACCTGAGTTTTGTTGTCAAGATGCTGTATTCTGCGCTGAGGTCAGACTTAGCCTGATTTATAGGCGATCATTTAGTAACAACAGGCAAAGTAGCTTACGGTTAAACAGAACTGCTCAGTTCTGGTTTAGCCGTTTTTTTTCTACCTAGAATGTAGATATGACAACACGTAACAATGCTCACTAGAGAGGTTTGCTTACAAAACTGGGCACTTGTAACAAACTGTTTTTTTCTTTAAAGAATGTCTACCTGTCCTCCTGCATCATCTGGTTTATATGATTTTATAATAATATTTATGGAAAGTCTCCTTCAATAATGGTCATAATGTACAAATGTTGGCCAGTATTCTTTCAGGCAGATTGAGATTAAAGCCCAAACTTTGAAGGTCAATGTGAATTTAGATTTTTTTTTGCACCCATTTTTCTCCTGAGCAAAATGTACAGAGTTCCTATAAACTGCCTGCCCCTGCACATGCACAGCCTCTTCCAGCATCTTGACCAATCTACATTGTCATATCATTGCCACCCAAAGCCCATACTTTAGGTTAGGAGTCACTCTTGGTGTTACACATTTACATTCTGTGGATGTGACAAGTGTGTGACACATATCTGCCTTTCTAGTTTCATACGGAAGCTTCACAGCCCCCGAACAGCTCTGTGCTCTGCCTCTGCCTCCTCCTCCCTAACCCCAGCAACTGTTGATCTTTTTACCATCTCCATGGATTTGCTTTTTCCAGAAGCCATATCATTGGAATCACATAGTATGTAGCCTTTTCAGATTGGCTTCTTTCACATGGTAGTATGCATTTAAGTCCCCCCCCCCCCATGTCTTTTCATGCCTTGAAAGCTTATTTTTAATGCTGAGGAATGTTTTATTGTGTGAATGTATCACAAGTTATCCATTCACCTACTGAAGGGTTATCCTGGTTGCTTCCAAGTTTTGGCAATTCTGACTAAAGCTGCTACAAACATCCACATGCAAGTTTTTGCATGGACACATGACTTCAGCTTATTTGGGTAATTACCAGGAGACTGACTGCTGGGTCATATAGTAAAACCATGTTTAGTTTTGTTGGAAGCTGTCAAATTGCTATACCATTTTGCATTCCCATCAGCATAAATCAGGGAGAGTTCTACACCCTCATGAGCGTTTAGTGTTGTCAGTGTTCTGGATTTGGGGCATTTTAATAGGCATGTAATGACATTTCATTATTGTTTTAATTTGCATTTCCTTAATGACACAAGATGTGGGACATCTTTTCATATGCATATTTGCATCAGTGTATCTTTGGTAAGGTGCCTGTTCAGGACTTTTGTCCATTTTTAAGTGTTTTCTGTATATTTTGGATAACAATCCTTTATCAGATCCGTCTTTTGCAAATAGTTTCACTTAGTCTGTGGCTGATCTCATTCTTTTGACAATATCTTTTGTAAAAGTTTTAAATTTTTCCAGCTCAACAATGATTTTTAGGATTGTGTTTTTGGTATGGTATCTAAAAATTCATCATAATTTAAATTTTCTCTTACATTCTCATCTAGAAATTGCATAGGTTTGCATTTTACATTTCTGCCTATGATCCAATTTGAGTTAACTTTTGCCAAGAGTATAAAGTCTGTGTCCAGATATTTTTTTTTGCATATCAATGTTGAATTGCTCCAGCACCATTTGTTGAAAAAATTTCCTTTTCTCCAATGTATTCCTTTTGCTCCTTTGTCTAAGATGAATTGACAGTATTTATGTGGGTCCATTTCTGAGCTCTGTTCTGTTCCATTGATATATCTATTAAAAAAAAAAAACACCTGGATTTATTTATTTGAGAGTCAGGGTTACAGAGGGAAAGAGTCTTCCAACCACTGGTTCACTCCCCAGATGGCCGTACCAGCCAGGGCAGTGCGAGACCAAAGCCAACAGCTTCATCCAGATCTTCCACATGCATGACAGGGGCCCAAATACATGGGCCATTTTCCACTGCTTTTCCCAGGCTATTAGCAGGGTCCTGGATCAGAAGTGGAGCAGCTGGGACAAGAACCTGTGCCCATATGGGATGCTGGCATTGCAGGCAGTGGCTTTACCTGCAATGCCACAACACTGGTCCCTATTCGTCTATTCTTTTGACAACATCACACGACCTTAATTACTGTTGGCTTATAGTAAATGTCAAAGTTGAGTAACATCAGCTCTCTGACTTTGTTTTTCCCCTTTAACGTCATGCTGACCATTCTGGGTCTTTGTCTTTCCAAATATCCATTGGAATTAGTTTGTCAATATCCATACTATAACTTTCTGAGATTTTGATGAGGATGGTTAATCTATAAATCAAGTTGGGAAGGACTGATATTTTAAAAATGTTGAGCCCTACTATCCATGATCATAGGAAATCTCTTCATCTAGCTTTTCAATTTCTTTAATCAGTCATGTAGATTTCCTCAAGTAGATTTTATACCTATTTTATCTAAGTATTTATACTAAAGTGCTTCATTTGGAGGGGGGCTGCTAATACAGATGGTATTGTTTTTAATTTCAAATTCTACTTGTTCATTGCCGATATATAGGAAAAAATTGACTTTTGTATATTAATCTTGTTTCCTGAAACTTTGCTGTGATCACTTCTTATTTGAGAAATTTCTTTTGGTCTATTCTTTTGGGTTTTTTACACAATTACTTCATCTGTAAAGTTTTATTTCTTCCTTCCCAATCTTTATACCTTTAATTTCCTTTTCTTCACTGATTGCATACACCAGCACTTCCTATATAATGTAGGAAATAAGTGCTGAGAGAGGGTATCCTTGCTTTGTTCTTCACCTGTGGGAGTTTCTAGTTTCTTAGCGTTAAAGGTAATGTTAGCTGCAGGTTTCTTTGTAGATGTCTTTATCCAGTTGAGGACATTCTCCTTCTTCCTGGTTTGCTGAGAGTTTTTGTTATAAGCAGGTATTGGATTTTGTGAAATGTTTTTTCTCCATTTATCAGTCCAATCATGTGGTTTTTCTTCTTTAGGTATGAAGGATTACATTATTTTAAAATGTTAAACTAGTCTCATGTATCTGTGATACTAACAAGAATCAATTTTACAATAAATTTATAAATGCTAAAAAAATTTTACTAATCAAAAATGCCTATTAATAGCTCTTAAGATCTCATCCTTATTCATTTAAAGTAATTTAATTTTAATATGTCTGCCAAGAATTTTTTAATTTCTTTAAGACTTTCAAGTCTCAGGCCAGCGCCGTGGCTCACTAGGCTAATCCTCCGCCTTGTGGCACCGGCACACCGGGTTCTAGTCCCAGTCAGGGCGCTGGATTCTGTCCCGGTTGCCCCTCTTCCAGGCCAGCTCTCTGCTGTGGCCAGGGAGTGCAGTGGAGGATGGCCCAAGTCCTTGGGCCCTGCACCCCATGGGAGACCAGGAGAAGTACCTGGCTCCTGCCATCGGATCAGCGTGGTGCGCCGGCCGCGGCGGCCATTGGAAGGTGAACCAACAGCAAAAGGAAGACCTTTCTCTCTGTCTGTCTACTCTGCCTGTCAAAAATTAAAAAAAAAAAAAAAAAAGACTTTCAAGTCTCTTAATTTATCAAAATGAAACTTTTATACTTTTCAGATACCCTTTTTTTTTTTGACAGGCAGAGTGGACAGTGAGATAGAGAGACAGAGAGAAAGGTCTTCCTTTGCCGTTGGTTCACCCTCCAGTGGCCGCCACGGCTGGCGCACTGCAGCCGGCGCACCACGCTGATCCGAAGCCAGGAGCCAGGTACTTATCCTGGTCTCCCTGGGGTGCAGGGCCCAAGCACTTGGGCCATCCTCTACTGCACTCCCGGGCCACAGCAGAGAGCTGGCCTGGAAGAAGGGGAACTGGGACAGAATCCAGCGCCCCGACTGGGACTAGAACCCAGTGTGCCGGTGCCGCAAGGCGGAGGATTAGCCTAGTGAGCTGCGGTGCCGGCCAAGAGACCCTTCTAAGAAATCATACATTCTCTCTCTGCTCTTGCACACACATTTAGTATCAATGTTTTATGATTAATGTAAAACAGCAGTCTCACAAACACGGTAGAGATGTCTTTGTGTCATCAAACCTTACCTTCAGCAAAAGAGAGAGGAGGAAAAAGCTAGCAGACATGAATACACTGATAGGTGTTTCAAAAATTATTTTATTATTACATTCCAACAAAGATATAGGAAGAAAAAGTCAATTCTCAAATAACTGTTATACCCTTTAGAGAAAGGCACCCAGTCCTAGTTCACAGCTGCTTCTCATGACCAGAATCGCCAGCAAATAATGCGTATGTCATTAATCCAAGGAGGCTTGAGTTTAAAAGAAAACTTCTTTATTGCAAGTGTCCAAGTCCTTAGGATTTGTCCTTAAAGATATGTGAAGATGAGGAAGACCACACACATCAAGACTATGTTTAGTCATTAGGGTAAACTAGCAAATAGCCAGTTCTAGGATGCATTGCATCAGACATCACAGTACATGAGGAAAATCTGCATTTTGTGAAGAGCCACCAGGCATTTCAGACCCAGTTTTCATGAAGTGCAGTCACAGGCCAGCCAGATACCTAGGTAATGCAGTCAGTGCAAAAGTCAGTTGAATAAGTCAGCGCTCTGATGAGGCTGGCTACATGGCAAAATAGAAATGAAACTTGAAAGTAGAAGGTAAGGACTATTTACAAAAGTTTGTGTAGTGAAGTAACTCAAGAAAAGCATCGTGAAGCAGTTCCCACACATCCCTCCCTTCTCCTGAAAAACAACAAAAAACCACCCCCCCAACAACAAAAAAATAAAAACAAAACAAAAACCCCTAAAAATCCTCTTGAAAACCAAGTTAAAACTGTGTAGTGAAAAAGAGAGGGCTTGTTCAAGGTTAAAGGACTTCAAGATAATTACCAAGAAAGTTTATTTTTATTAGTAAAAGTCACAAGTAGTAAAAGATTTATTGGCTGACTTTGAGGTGTGTGCTTTTAAAAATGTCTCTATTAATACATTGACAAGAAAAAAAAATACCAAGCATGTTTTTGCTTCCAATTTTGAGTCTTCAGCAAGATTTGATGAGATCAAACAGAGTATTAAAACAAAATCCAGGAAAATTCAGTCAGTTCTTTCCAGTTGTCTGTCTTGTTTCTTTCCAGTCACCTTGAATTCTAAATCCAATTAGCTGAGGACAACATGTCGGTCAAAAACAGATTTTCGCTGCTCTTGAACTTGAAGCTTCCAGCGCTGCTGGGCGTATTCTACCTTGTTCAGAACATTGGCTCGACTGCGGGAGCGTGCCAGCACATCATGGGCATTTGCAAAAGGCTGGTGATCCTGAAAGTCCAGGGATGGAGAACATCAGAGATGGTTAGATCAGTGTAACACACACACACACACACACACCAAACAGCACTTGGCCAGCCACAGAGATAGGAACAGCTGGACTTTCAAACAGCAGAGTATGTGCCTGACTAAGTGTTTCTGTATACTCAACTATCAGAAGTAGATGAACTCAAATATGGAAATAGGTGGTTCAGGGAACAAGTGATAGGAGGTATTTGTGAAATGTTCCCATGGGTCATCATTTCTAAAGATGTTTCCATTAAGAAGCAGAGACCAAGATAAAGACATTGGTCATTCAGGCTAAAAAGAAGTCTTCCCTCAGGCCCAGCGCTGTGGCACTGCAGATTAAGCCTCTGTCTGCAACACCTGCATCCTATATGAGCAATGATTCAAGTTCTGGGGCTGCTCCACTTCTGATCCAGTTCCCTGATAACGTGCCTGGGAAAGCAGAAAAGATGGCCCTAATACTTGGGTCCCTGCTACCCACATGGGAGACCTGGATGTCAGGTTCCTGGCTTCAGCCTGGCCCAGCTCTGGCTATTGTGGACATTTGGGTAGTAAATTAGCAAACAGAAGGTTCATTCATTCTCTCTCTTGCTGTCTGCAACTCTGCATTTCAAATAAATACAACTTGGAAAAAAAAAAAAAAAGAAAGCTTCCCTGACTAGCAGGGGGAAGAACATCTATTGTCACTTTAACACCTCCATGTTACAGATATGGAAAGCAGAGATTCAGCTGACTTTACTCAATACTATGCAGCTAATCTGTGACAGAGGAAACTTCTTTTAATTTCCTGACTCTCAATATATTAGAATTGTTTACTTGCCAGGTAGGGACCATATTCACCCTGGGAGATGAGTTGCCAGGGTCTTATATTAATTGGTTTAATCTCTTCCTATACCCTCAATACAACACTAAATGGACCAGATTCCAACTTTTCTCATGTCCTGCCTTCCCCAGTCTGTAATGAAAAGAGACAGCTCAAGTGCTACAATTACCCTTCAGCACCAACCATAGTAAGGAATTCTTTCCTTCAGTTTCTGTTTGACAGACTTGAATCTTTCATTGCTGAGCACCTAGCGCCTTCCATGTCAGCTGCTGCCTTAGGAGAGAGGTCACTGAAGGGTTACTCAGGTATCTGTGTGGGAAGCCAACCTATCTCGGTCAAAATAAACCAATGCAACTGGATATTTGTAGTCACTACACAGGAAACCACCACGCTAATCTATTTATGAATGAGATACAAACACAGCCGGCTACATGACAAATAGCATTCAATAATAATGTATTGCTTTTGTTTGCTTTTTCCTTGATCCCTTTTTCCAGAACCCTATGCTAGCAAAGCTTTCAAATGTTCTAACGCAAGATCCAAATCATAAGTCAGCTCTCTTAAACTAAACTTTGCCTCTAGGGAACAACAACAAAAAAATCAACGTTGTTTTACTGTGCATGTCTTAAAAAGCTCTACTATATATGCAAGACAGGAGTCAGCATGTTTGTGGAAAGCTATGCATAATCTCCTAACTATATAAGCCACTACAACTAGATGGTATTATTATTATTTTTTTTGACAGGCAGAGTGGACAGTGAGAGAGAGAGAGAAAGGTCTTCCTTTGCCGTTGGTTCACCCTCCAATGGCCGGCGCATCGCGCTGATCCGAAGCAAGGAGCCAGGTGCTTCTCCTGGTCTCCCATGGGGTGCAGGGCTCAAGCACTTGGGCCATCCTCCACTGCCCTCCCGGGCCACAGCAGAGAGCTGGACTGAAAGGGGAGCCCCGACCGGGACTAGAACCCGGTGTGCCGGCACTGCAGGCGGAGGATTAACCTATTGAGCCGCGGCGCAGACTATTATAATACCTGTTTTGTTTTAACAACAAAACATATAATATTTCCATTTCCAAAGAACTTATCTTCTTCTTTTAAAGATTTATTTATTATTTGAAAGACAGAGTGACAAAGAGAGATGGAGAGACACAAAAGAAAGAGATCTTCCATCTGCTGGCTCACTCCCCAAAAGCCTGCAACAGGAAGGGCTAGGCTAGGTCAGGCCGAAGCCAGGAGTAGGGAATCCACCTAGGTCTTCCACATGGATGGCAGGAATCCAACTACTGGGGCCATTATCTGCTACCTCCCAGGCGCATTAGCAGGAATACTGGATCAGAAGCATGGAATAGCAGTAACTTGAAGCAGGCATTCATAAGTATGGGATTCATAAGTATGACCCAGGCGGCGCCTTAACCAAGAATCACTCCTCGCCTTCTTTACCAAAATTCCCTTTTCACTCGATTTAGGTAATGGCTTAGTGCAAAGGCTAAATATTTTTAACCTTACAAACGAAAATAATAAAGACAATTCCATAAAGTCCAAAATGTTTCAAAGATATGTGAAAGAAAGTAAGGAAAGAGGACGGTTAAAGTTTAGGATTCCTTGATTTCCCATAAGGAAATAAACCAGCCCAAGGTCATTTAGCACAAACAAAACTTTGCCTAACCTTGACTTGATGTCATAGTTTCTCAATACACAGGTTTTATTCAGGAAGATTAAAATGACACTATAGGAATATGGTGCCACAATGGACTTGTATATAAAACATTATTACCATTGGTTTGTTTTGACATAAACAAGACTGGGAAGAGGGATGTACTTTATCAGCAGGGCACCTCTCAGTTTCACAGTTCTGTTACCTACCTCTGAGGTAATGAGAGAAAAATCTTCTTAAGGAACAAACTCAAAAGCCTAAACAAACCAGTTAATCCTTTTGGTCTGTTCTACACCTATTAGAACAAGATTGAACTAGTTGCTCATGGTCAAGGATGCTGGAGGAATGCAAAGAGATTTGCCCTTTTTATGTTTGTTCTTTTTACACCTGATAAAATTACAATAAATACAAAACATGTTTTAATGTAATGCTTTGATAACAGTGATGATGTGTCATGGATATATGATACAGTAAATATTGTGACTACTTGAAGTGAGCTTTTTAACTATTTGTACTAACTTAACTTGATTTAAAATGCTCTACACTGAATACAAATAGAAAAATAAAAGTTAGGAATTTAACAAAGAAATTTTAAAAGTACATATGTAGTAGAGGAACTCACATATTTTAGGAATTTAAATTTAATTTATTTTCATATGAAGTTATTAACATAAACTCACATCTCTGGTCAGAAAAATCTCTCTATGACCAGAACCAGTTAAGAGATATCCAAGAATCAGGCTTCTCATGTGATCTTAGCCAAAAGGCCAAAAAATGGTGAGCCAGGTCTCTCACAGCTCAAGGCACAGGCAGAAAAAATCACTGGCATACAGAACAGTTACTGAGCACCTGCCTTCACCAATTCGGGGCCTGACCCACATGCACCTGTCTACACATGTGAGCGTCTGTTATTTTATGTTCCACATACATTATATAAATGCTATTTCTGACATCAAGAGCAGATACCTAATGCTGTAAAGAATGTGGTAAAGTCAGACTTTCAACCCAAGAGCATATAACAAAAATGGCTTAAGTGGCCTTGGATACGCATCTTTCATTTAGCAATACAGTTCAGCTGGGGACAGTTTTGCCTCCCAGGGACAGCTAGCAATGTCTGTGGCATGACCCGGATGTGGGTGAGGATGGGGGAGGCTGGCAGGATGGTGCTGCCAGACCTAGTGGACGGAGGTCAGGCATACTATTAAACACGAGAAAACTTCAAAACTTTCATGGAAAAATGGAATGAAGACAAGTTTGTTTTGTCGCAGGAAATTTTAAAGTCCATGCATAGTTTTTTCATAAGATGCATTTTCCACAAACTTTTAAGTACTCTCATAATCTTACAATGAACAGGACATCTCCCTGCAACCTCCAACAATTACTTAACCTTTTAAATGTCTTTGGCATCAAGGTTAAAAAACCCGAACATGTGGATGAAAATGACCAGGGAAGCAGCACTTGAGACTCTACTGCTTCTGGGACACAAACCCGTCCTTCTAGCTCTCTCCACTTCAGCCTCATCGAAGTGGTTTGGACCACATCTGATCTCTCACCTTAACTTCTCTCTCAGCCTATCAGTCTCCTCCAAGAATTCTTCTAAAATAAATGTTTCTTATATGATTAAAAATAAAAGGAAAACACACCACTGTCAGTCATTTCTATCACAAGCCTGTCTTTGTTTTATTCTTCCCTTTATTTCTAGTACCCAGTGTAGTACCAGGAACAAAAAAGCTAACCCAATATGTGTTGGCTGAATTCATATAGGCAGCAAGGGGGAAAGAGTCAAACAGGTATTTCTATGAAAATTCTTGACCAAAAACATTAAGAGCTTGTTCAATGAAGTTAAGTATTCATAACTGATATTCATGAGACTATGTGTTGATCAAAGTCCAGGTTTTTATAGTTATCACTTGAGCCATCCAGATAGGATCCCCTCTCCCATCTTTTACTGACAGGTGCCCAAGCCTTTCCAGAGGAAAGGGGCTTCTGAAGTGATTGGCAAGAGCTCATGCTGGGTTTGGCTTTTGGAATTGATTTTTTAAAGACTTTTTTATTAGAAAGAGGGAGAGGGAGAGGGGGAGAGGGAGAGGAAGAGGAGTCTCCTATCCACTGGTTCACTTCCCAAATGGTCATAATGACCAGAGCTGAGCCAGTCTGAAGTCAGGAGCCAGGAGCTTCTTCCAGGTCTCCCACATGTGTGCAGGGGCCCAAGCACTCCGGCCATACTCTGCTGTCTCCCCAGGTGCATCAGAAAGGAACTGGATTGGAAGTAGAGAAGCCGGGACTCGAACTGGTACCCATATGGGATACTGGCACTGCAGGCGGTGGCTTTACCTGCCACGCCACAGTGCTGGCTCTGGCATTGATTCTTGAAAACACACTGAATCTTATCTACTTTAAGGAATGTAGTTCAATAAAATTATTCAAAACAGAATATCATTTCTATGGGGCTGGCATTGTAGTACAGTGGGTTAAGCTGCCACCTGCAATACCAGCATCCTATATTGGTACCAGTTCGAGCTCCAGCTGCTCTACTTCTGATCCAGCCCCCTGCTAATGCACCTGGGAAAGCAGCAGAAGATGGCCCAAGTGCTTGGACTCCTACATCCACATCAGAGACCCAGATGAAGCTCTTGACTCCTAGCTTCGGCCCGGCTTACGCCCAGCCATCGAAGGTATTTGGGGAGTGAACCAGCAGATGGAAAATCTCTCTATTGTTCCTTCTCTCTCTGTAACTCTGCCTTTCAAATAAACAAACAAACCTTTTTATAAAAAAGCATAATTTCTAAAAAAAATTATATATAATAATGAAACAGTGGAAATCCAGAAACAATCCTAAACAAGACAATGATAAAACAATGTAATTCTCTAAGCTATAATGAAAAACAAGCTTGTCGGCTGTGTCAGTTTCTCAACATAGTCCAGAATGATGAAATGTGAAAACAAAATGGAGGCCACAAAAATATTAATACACTGATTACACCAACTACAAGTACAAATATAAACATGTTTTAAAGTCAAGAACAGTATCTAAAGTAACATTTTCATTTTTCTCATAATGAAAGGGAAAAAAAAGTTTCTCTTAGGCAGGAGGAAAAAAGGCAAGATAAAACAATCAGCAGATTATCAAGCTGTAGTTCACTAAGAAAAAAGTATCATGGTCTCCATGCTTCCTTTCACTAAAGCTCCTTCTCCTCAAATTTCTGGTGCTATCGGTAGGAAAGGTGTTTCAGGCAGGAACAAGGGGAGAAAGCCGTCCCGGATGCTTTTCTCAATGTAAACAGGGCAAGGCCTCTTGCGGCACCTTTCCCAAGGATCACCAGTTAAAACCACCGTGCTTACAGCTTTGTGGGGACAGTCTCCTCACAGAGCAGCAGACGGACCTTACAGTGCGAACTGGAATTAGCTTCTCTAGCTGAGGATCTGCTCCCGCACATCAGCATACACATGTGATTGTTTTTCACTTGTGCTTCACGCCCGATGATGACAGAGACTGGCCCTGAGCAGCTAGCGCATGCTGAGAACTTACCCCAACGTCATCATCGCTCTGTATCAACTGTGAGTGTCCAAAGAGGCGCCTCTTCAGTATGGGCTCAACCAGAGTCAGATATACCATGTACAGAAGCAGAAGGCCCAAAATGGACAAATAAATTATAATGGTAACCTAAAGGAAATTGAAAACAAGTCATATCTCTGTTCAAGCCAAGGAATCAGAATTTTGTGGAATAGCAGTAAAGCCACAGTAAAGACTAATACATCTGCTAAGCATCCAGGACGTCTACACAAACCAGATTCTGATTTAAGAAACTAACACAACCTTTTACCAAAGAATTATTTAAAAAAAAAAAAATGAGAGAAAGAGAGAGGGAGGAAAGAAAGCATTTGTTTTCAAGTCTTCAAAATTTCATCCTCACTTACTGCTAATCGTTTGTCACCATTGCTGGCACAGCAGGAGGTTTTTTTTTTTTTAAGTGAACATAGCATCCTACATTCACCGCTGCTAAAACACCTTAAAGGAACCATAACAGAAAATGTAATTCACATCAATTTCAACAAGGTAACCTTTTACATCAATCCAGAAACACAAAAATACTTTTTTAAGCCAGAAATTTTCTGGGGATATTAGTTTGTCTACTAACAAAAAGTACAGGGACTGGTGTTGTGGCGTAGTGGGTAAAGCCATAGCCTTCGATACCAGCACCCCAAATGGGAGCCGGCCTGTGTCCCAGCTGCTCCACTTCTGAGCCAGCTCCCTGTTGATAGCCTGGGAAAAGTAGTGGAGACTAGCCCACGTGTTTGGGCCCCTGCCACCCACGTGGGTGACCTGGAAGAAGCTCCTGGCTCCTGGCTTTGGCCTGGTCTAGCCACTATCTGGGGAGTGAAGCAGTGGATGGAAGATCTCTCACTGTCTATCTCTCTCACTTTCAAATAAATAAATAAATCTTCAAAAAAAAAAAAAAAAGTTCAGTGTGATACATCACTGGAATGGCTATAATAAAACAGACATACAATACCAAGTGTTAGCAAGGCTGTGCAGAAATGAACCCTCATCACTGCTGATAGGAAGGTACATTGGTATAACCACTTTGGGAAACAATCTAGCAGTCTCTTAAAAAGTAAAACAGAAAATTGACACAGTATGGAATTTATCCAAGAGTAAGGAAGACATAAATCCATATAAATACATATATGCAGATATTCATGACAGTATTATTCATAATTTAAAAAGCTGGAAGTAATTCAAATGCCTATCAATTGATGAATGGGTAGTCACATATTACAATACTAATCAGCAATAAAACAGATGAAGTATTGATACATACTAAAACTTGAACAAACATCAACAACATTATACTTACTAAAAGATACCAGTCACAAGAGACCATATATTACATGATTCCATTTATATGAACTGTTCAGATATACAGAGACAGAAATTAGAATAGTGATTGTCTGGGGCTGGGTGTTGGAATCAGAATTAACCGTAAATGGGCATGAGAGATGGGAATGTTTTAAAAAGCTGTTTTAAGGGGCCAGCGCCATGGCACAGTAGGTTAATCCTCTGCCTGCAGTGCCAGCATCTCCTATGGGCGCCGGTTCTAGTCCCAGCTGCTCCATTTTCAATCCAGCTCTCTGTTATGACCTGGGAAAGCAGTAGAAGATGGCCTAAGTCCTTGGGCCCCGGCATCCGTATGGGAGACTGGGAAGAAGTGCCTGGTTCCTGGCTTCGAATCGGCACAGCTCCAACCATTGTGGCCATTTGGGGAGTGAACCAAGGGAAGGGAGACCTCTCTCCTTCTTTCCCTCTCATTGTCTGTAACTCTACCGCTCAAATAAAATAAATAATAAAAATCTTTAAAAAAAAAAGGCAAAAAAAGTTGTTTTAAGGGGGAGGAGGAGATGGAGGAGAAAGAGAAGGAAAGAAGAGAAAAGGGGGAAGACAAAATCAGGAACACATGCCTGTGTGTTATCTCATTTGGTATTAAATTGTGTGCCATGGTTTACTTTTTACATTACTCATAAAATACAAATATCATCAAATTATTCTCATTTATGTTAGAAAAATATCTGTATGAATGCTGTTACACAAGTAGCATTAATCTTATTTAAAAACTCCAAGATATGTAAATTTATAGAATTAAACATTCTAAATATGCTGATTATCTGCCTATTTATAATTACATCAGGTCAAAGCTTCTCCTTAAGATTTGATTTCAACCTGGGTTATATGTGAGTAGTTAAGACACTATTTAAAGTTATCTTTTAAAGTTTGTATAAAATTTAATGATCAAGCTGTTTTGATGTTAGTTCCTGAAGCCTGAAACGTTTTTGAATAAACTTTTCTGTCAGTTCCTATTAGGATTCCTTTCCTCTCATAAAGAATTAGTCTCATTTAGATGGCTAGAACTAAATAAAATATTTTTCAAGTCTTAAAAAACCTCTCTTGCTCTGCCTTTCAAATAAATAAATCTTAAAAAAAAAAGTACAGGAGCAGATATCTGGCATAGCAGTTGGGATGCTAGTTGGGATTCCCACCTCCCATTTTGGAGTGCTGGGGTTCTGGTCCTGGATCTTCTGTCGCTTCCAGCTTCCTGCTAGTGTACACCCTGGGAGGCAACATGTGGAGGTTCAAGTAGTAGGGTCCCTGCCACACACACAGGAGACCTGGACTGAGTTCTTGGCTCCCAGCTTTGGCCTGATCTAGCCTGGCCATTACAGGCATTTGGGCAATACAGATGCAAGCTCTCTGCCCCCTCTCTCCCTTAAATAAATAAATAAATAAATAATTTTTAAAAAAGTTTATGGGTATGTGTTGTGGCACAGCAGGTTAAGCCACTGCTTGGGATGCCTGCATGCCCTGTTGGAGTGCCTAGGATCAAATCCTGGCTCCACTGCTGACACAGCTTCCCAATGCACATCCTAGGAGGCAGAAGGTGATGGCTTAAATACCTGGATCATCGTCACCTAACTAAGCAGGAGACCCGCGTGGAGTTTCTGGCTCCTGGCTTTGATGTGGCCTTGCCCTGGCTGTTGCAGGCATTTGGGAAGTGAACCAGTAGATGGAAAATTTCTCTTTCTCCCTCTCTGTCAGTCTGCCTTTCAAGTAAGTAAAAATAAACTTAAAAAAAAAAATTAAAACTACAGTGAGGGTCAGTGCTGTGCGTAGCGAGCAAAGCCGCCACCTGTAGTGCTGGCATCCTATATGGGCACCAGTTCAAGTCCTGGCTGCTCCGTTTCCAATCCAGCTCCCTACTAATGTTCCTGGGAAAGCAGAAGAGGATGGGAGACTCAGATGGGAAAGCACCCATGTAGCAGACCCAGAAGAAGCTCCTGGCTTTGGCTTGGCTCAGTCCTGACCATTGTAACCATTTGGGGAGTTAACCAGCAGATGAAAGATATCCTTCTCTCTCTGCCTCTGCGTTTCTGTAATTCTGTTTTTCAAATAAATATTATTTTTTAAGATTTATTTATTTATTTGAAAGTCAGAGTTAGAGAGAGGCAGAGAGAGAGAGAGAGGTATTCTATTCGCTGGTTTACTCCCCAGATGGCCAACAACGGCCAGAGGTGCACCAAGTCCGAAGCCAGAAGCCAGGAGCTTCCTCAGGGTCTCCCACGTGGGTGCAGGGGCCCAAGGACTTGGGCCATCTTCCACTGCTTTCCCAGACCAGAGCAGAGAGCTGGATCAGAAGTGGAGCAGCCGGGACTCGAACCGGTGCCCATATGGGATGCCGGCACTTCAGGCCAGGGCATTAAACCACTGCGCCTGGCTCCTAGTCCCATAAATAAATCTTAAAAAAAAAGTCAATCTCTACAAAAAAGAAAAAGAAATCTTTGTGACTGTTATAACTGACCATCCCAGATTTCCCATTTGTAAGGAAAAGGAACGGAAAATACCATATAGAAAGATCAGGGAGAAGAATCAAGCACCATAATAAAGTAATGAAACAATTAGAGCTCCAAATGGTGGTAAGAGTTATCTACTTTCTATTTCTTCCAGGAAATAAAGAAAGGGAATCTCAAAATCCACAGGTGATGTTTTAGAACAGCTATTATTTATCTAGTTTTTTTCAAAGTGTTGGCAGGCGAGGAGGCTATTCTCAGAAGCCTTGCTATACATGGCCCACAGAGAAGCCGGGATATTCTCCTGCAGCATCCTGATGACACACAGGGCACTGCTGTGCCTTTTCACGTATCTATCTAACAACTCCTAACTAATCCACAAAGCATCTCAATGAAGCACACTGCAGGCTCCTTTTGGGGTAGGGGTCCAGAGATCACCCAGGAAAGGAAAAGCTATATATATATTTTTTACCTTGATTGTAACAGAGCTTCTTTCCTCATATTTACATTCACAGCGCAGACAGTAGGCTTCTACGTCAGGCCCCCGCACAGGCATGGGCTCCACAACATGAAGGCAATCACTGAAAACACAAAGACAAAATACCACTTAAGCCTGCCTGTATTTTCTATTTGAATCCATCAAAACCTTCCTAAAGTCCAGAATAATCACTGAACTTACCCAGTGGAAGAATATAAAGAACAAACAATCAAATACAAAGTGAGATCATTTCCTCTCTCGGTGTTAGCACTTTGTTAAGATTTCATAGTTTAGAGGCCGGCTCTGTGGCACAGTAGGCTTGAGTCCTGCTGTTCCACTTCTGATCCAGCTCTGTGCTTGGGCCCCTGCACCTGTGTGGGAGACCCGGAGGCGGCTCCTGGCGCCTGGCTTCGGATTGGCACAGCTCCGGCCACTGCAGCCATCTGGGGAGTGAACCAGCGGATGGAAGACCTCTCTGCCTCTGCCTCTCTGTAACTCTGTCTTTCAAATAATAAATAAATAAATCGAGTCCCAGCTGCTCCACCTCCTGGCTGCTCACTTCTAGTCCAGCTCCCAGCTAATGTGCCTAAGAAAGCAGTAGAAGATGGCCCAAGTATTTGGGCCCCTGCACCCACATGGACCTGGAAGAAGCTCCCGGCTCCTGGCTCCGGCCTGGCCCAGTCCTGGCCATTGTGGCTATTTGGGGAGTGAACCAGTGGATGGAAGATCGCTCTCTCTCTCCTTCTCCCTCTGTTTCTCTGCCTTTAATATAAATAAATAAATAAATCTTTAAAAAAAGAGTTACAAATGATGCTGTTACCAGACAAAACTATGGTACATGGGACACTGTTCAAATATAAGATTATTTCCTTTGTGAATTAACTAATATAATTTCTGTCACAGTGTAGCTTATGAATTGTTTATCACATTAAACAAAGTAGTAAATTCTGAAATTCTGAAAATTGAACACTAAAAGCCACACTAAGAAAAAACCCACTTTCCTTAGTGAGCAAAATTCCTTTCTATTTGAAAAAGCAAGGACAAGTAGGATTGGTAACATTTTAAAATGAAAAGTAATTACCCTGAGAAAATGTATAAAATAAGATAAAAATATATTTAAAAAAAGATAAAAAGATGAGTGCTTCTGTTATTGTAAGAGATTGTTTATCAGGGCTGGCACTGTGACACAGCAGGTAAAGCTGCTGCCTGCAGCGCGGGCATCCCATATAGGAGCCGGTTCAAGTCCTGCCTGCTTCACTGCTAATCCAGCTCGCTGCTAATGAGCCTGGGAAAGCAGTGGAAGATGCTCCAAGAGCATCCCTGCACCCACATGGGAGACCCAGATGAAGCTTCTGGCTTTGGCCTGGCCCAGCCCTGGCCATTGAGGCCATTTGGGGAGTGAACCAGTAGATGCAAGACCTCTCTCTGTCTCTGCCTCTCCCTCTCTCTAACTCTGACTTTCAAATAAATACATTAAAAAATATATTGTTTATCCACCCTGCCCCTTGATATCCAGTCTATTTATGGTTTAATTCTACCACAGCTGCCTCCCTATAAGGTCCATTCTTCTAGGAAGCACCTGGCTCTAGGCTTCTCTTTGCACCCTGAAAAAGCACTTTTTTTGTGTGCTCTGCTAGCTCTGAACTGTGGCATTAGAAGGAAAATTCAAAATGGTATGAGTGATGACATCTCAGGTATCCTTAACAAACTCAATTTTCACAAAGATAGTAAGGAAAATTAAATCTCTAGTGGTAGAATTTCAAACAAGGATAAGGCCACATGAGACACATGTAAAAATGTGTGGTATCTACTGCAAACATATGGAAGACCAGGCAAGTATGCAGCTACATGCAGGCATAAAGTGGGCAGAGGCAGCTAAACACCCTAGCAGGAGCCCATCTACCTCGGAATCAGGGAGGTCATCCAGCCCAACACCCAGAGAGGTCACCTGCACAAGGTCACAGAGTGAATCAGTAACTGAAAAAGGACCAGAATCCAGGTCTCTCACCTCCTAGGTCAGCTGCCTTTATCTCTCTGCACCCCAGGAAAGTGAGACTTGTTTCCTGCTTAGTTTCTCATCTCAGTTACAGGAGCCTCAGAACAAAACCTAAGAATTACCTGGAAATTTAAGTGCTGGATAAGTATTGAGTATTTATTTTGAAGGACAAGATATTCCAGGCACAAAAAAAATCCAGCACTGTGCAAAAGTTGTGAAGAGCTGAAGAGGAAGCAGGAAGGTTCCTTCTGGTTGGCTACTCATAAACAGAACCAGACTGAATTAGACTACCGTGGGAACTAGGCAATGGCTCCCTCTAGTGCCAAAAGAAGGCATTAACAACTTTAAAATACACCCCAAACAGAAACCAGAGCACTCTAACTTTTCTTTTCTTTTTTAATAAAAAGCAGGTTACTCTTCCTTTTTTTTTTTAAAGATTTATTTAATTTATTTATTTGAAATATAGAGTTACAGAGAGAGGTAGAGACAGAGAGAGAGGTCTTCCATCCGCTGGTTCACTCCCCAGATGGCCGCAACGACGAGCTGTGCTGATCCGAAGCCAGGATCCAGGCGCTTCTTCTGGATCTCCCACATGGGTGCAGGGGCCCAAGGACTTGGGCCATCTTCTACTGCTTTCCCAGGCCACAGCAGAGAGCTGGATCAGAAGAGGAGCAGCTGGGACTAGAACCGGCGCCCATATGGGATGCTGGCGCTTCAGGCCAGGGCTTTAACCCACTGCGCCACAGCACTGATCCCTCTAACTTTTCTCAAATTCTAAGTTGGCCAGTGTAAATCAGTGAAGAATTAAAGCTAACAACTGGACAAAATGAGAGACTAGAAAACAGAAGGTAAAAATACACCTGCGTTGTGGGGATAGCGTTGTGGCATAGCGGGTAAAGCTGCCACCTGCAATGCTGGATGCCGGTTCGAGTCCCAGCTGGCTCCACTTCTGACCCAGCTCCTTTCTAATGTGCTTGGGAAAAACAGCAGCAGATGGCCCAAATCCTTGGGCCCCTGTACCCACATGGAGACCCAGAAGAAGCTCCTGGCTCAGTCTGGCCCAGCTCTAGCCATTTGGGGAGTGAACCAACAGAAGGAAGATATTCATTCATTCTCTCTCCCTCTTTTTCTTTCTCTCCCTCTATAACTCTGCCTTTAAAATAAATCTTAAAAAAAAAAAAAAACATGTGTGGAGATTTACAAATATTGGAGGCCTGGAGAAAGTCCCAACATCCCGGTTGATCATAACCTGTCTGCCCATCTAAAGCCGGGTAAAACATTTCAGAGCCAGCTGGGAACCCATTCCCAGTAAACGGGAAGCTGCAGGAAGGAGGCAGGGAAGAGCCGGAGGGCGAGCAGGATCCATACACGCTTTGTTTGCAACTCTTTATTTCCAAAGCTCCCTATTACAACCAGTTACCAGGGATGAACGACATGATTCTGTCTAAGCCTGGGATAACAAAATGTTAGTGAGAAGACCAGTGCTTAAACACTTGAAGAATGAGTTCATTTGCCACTTAGGCATCATGTTCTATTACTGATAACAGAATAAACTGTCGATGGGTGTAGAATATATTTGAAAAATTTATAGAAGTAACAAGAATTATTTGAACTTTCTTGTATTGTATAAAGTAACTAGCTTCTGTATAACCTGTAAGAACATAGCCGAATCACTTTGTCACATGAAACCATTTCACAGAGAACATTGGGAGAGAGTATTTGGTGCAGCAGGTGAGCCACTGCTGGGACAACCACATCGCCTAGTGGCGCGCCTGGGCTCGAGTCCCAGCTCTGTCAGCCCCCTGCTAATCTGCACAGTGAGAGGCAACAGGTGATGGCTGCAGTAGTTGAGTGCCCACCACCCACCCCACAGGGGAGACCCAGATTGAGTTTCCAGCTCCCAGCCTGCTCCAGCCCTGGCTATTAGGGCTGTGCAGGGAGTAAGCCAGAGGTTGGAAGATTTATCTCTCTGTCTCTGCCTCCAAATAAATACTATAAATTAATAAATTAATTTGTAAGGCCCACTGGGACAAACAGAGAAGGCTGCTGGCTGCTAGTCAGTCAGGATCCCAGGGGTGCCAGGCCTGCTTGACTTCCTGAGGGCACACCTATAGCCCATTCACATGCACCAAATGGGAAACTCTGATAGTCCCATACACAGCTCACTCCCATTCCTTCCTGAGCCTCTGTCACTTTTATACATAGCCTCTCATACTTCACAATATTTGACCCAAACCTGTAAGTTGTAAAAATTATAATCCAGGGCTGGCGCCGCGGCTCAATAGGCTAATCCTCCACCTAGCGGTGCCAGCACACCGGGTTCTAGGCCTGGTCGGGGTGCCAGATTCTGTCCCGGTTGCCCCTCTTCCAGGCCAGCTCTCTGCTGTGGCCCGGGAGTGCAGTGGAGGATGGCCCAAGTGCTTGGGCCCTGCACCCGCATGGGAGACCAGGAGAAGCACCTGGCTCCTGGCTTCGGATCAGCACGGTGCGCCAGCCACAGTGTGCCGGCCACGGTGGCCATTGGAGGGTGAACCAATGGCAAAGGAAGACCTTTCTCTCTGTATCTCTCTCTCACTGTCCACTCTGCCTGTCAAAAAAAATTTTTTTATAATCCAGAGAAAGGAGGTTTCTTAACCCCTTACTGAAGAGCATGAGGGAGAAATTTAAAGTAACTATGGTGGTTTAGGCGCCATAGACTCAGCCTCATCCTCATGTGAATCCTGGGTCTTAGTGTTTTAGCTGCAGGACTCCTTTAAGCTGGAATAATGCACTCAGGGCTCTGCTGGGACTTTCAAATGCAAATAGAAGTGGACATTTTTGCTTAAAAAGAAATACTTCAAAAGAAAATTATACATGAGAGGAACATTCTGTACTAACAACAATAAGCAAAGAAAAAAAACTTGACAGATAATTCAATAACTAGAATACTTACCAGTCTTTCTGGGATATGTTCTTATTATAAATATGCCCAGAATTCTCCTTATAGGGAGGACAGATACATTTACATCGAACATCCTCGAAATTCTGTAACCAAAATGGAAACTTAGCACAGCTTGTTCACAATTTACCATCAACATTTAGAAAAGAAAACACAAACTGCACCATACACATTTTACTAAACACCTCTGACCAAATGTTCTAAAACCATTCATTTAAAACTTTAATTTTGGGGGTCGGCGCTGTGGCACAGCAGATTAAAGCCCTGGCCTGAAGCACCGGCATCCCATACGGACGTCAGTTCTAGTCCCAGCTGCTCCACTCCTGATCCAGCTCTCTGTTATGGCCTGGGATAGCAGTAGAAGATGACCCAAGTCCTTGGGCCCTTGCACCCACATGGGAGACCTGGAGGAGGCTCCTGGCTCCTGGCTTCGGATAGGCGCAGCTCCGGCCGTTGCAGCCATCTGGGGAGTGAACCAGCGGATGGAAGACTTCTCTCTCTGTCTCTACCATTCTCTGTAACTCTGTCTTTCAAATAAATAAAATAAATCTTAAAGCTGGCACCGCGGCTCAATAGGCTAATCCTCCGCCTGTGGCGCCGGCACACTGGGTTCTAGTCCCAGTCGGGGCGCCGGATTCTGTCCCAGTTGCCCCTCTTCCAGGCCAGCTCTCTGCTGTGGCCCAGGAGTGCAGTGGAGGATGGCCCAAGTAATTGGGCCCTGCACCCCATGGGAGACCAGGAGAAGCACCTGGCTCCTGGTTTCGGATCAGCGCGGTGCACCGGCTGCAGCGCGCCGGCCACGGCAGCCATTGGAGGGTGAACCAACGGCAAAGGAAGACCTTTCTCTCTGTCTCTCTCTCTCACTGTCCACTCTGCCTGTCAAAAAAAAATAAAAATCTTAAAAAAAAAACCTTTAATTTTGAGAGAGACAAAATTTCAAAACTCACAAGTCCTACATGGTAATGCTCATGAATCATTGTATAGCACATAAAATTATTTTGAAATTATTCCTAGTACAGGATTTGTGATTTATTAGCCAGTTATGGTCATATGGCAATCCAATTGTGTTCATATTCTCAAGAAGTACTTGCCATTAGAAACACACAGAGTAGACAGTTGTGCCTGCATATAAGAACGCTGATTTCAAAAGGATGGGGAAGGAGCAAACTAACAATTATTCAAAGAGAGTCACAGTGCTTCTCCATACCATTCTGCCACTCCTGGGTGGAAGGGCAGTGACACTGACCAAAAGAGTTGGGCCAGAGTCCTGTAAAAGGGATGAAGCGTTGGAGGCACCTAGCTCCAACCAGAAAGGAAGTACATACGGGAAGTAGTTCCATTCTAGCTGAGATCAGTTTGGTCTGTGCTTCCCAGGCCCCGGCACCCACAATCCACCTGGCAGAGCTGTTCATAAACGTATTCAGCGACTGCTTATTGGTAAGCATCTGCTCTGTGCAGAACTTGTTGTGTTCAATGAGGTGGGCTCAGATGAGCACAAGCCAGGGTTCCTGCCCATAACGAGGACACATAAATACACGGTCGCCATACGTTACATAAAGCAATGGGGGAGCTATGCGGAGGGTGCCAGGAGACTTGCTGCTGTTGCTGCTTCTAGTGGGAGGTGGGAAAGCTTTCAGAATCCCTGATCACAAACATCTGCTACCTGTCATTTCCTTTTTCCAGTCCCTATAGATGAAAGCTCTTTTTTTTTTTTTCCCCAAAACTGCAATGTCATTTTGTTTTCCCACCACGCTAGTGTGAATCCCTTCTGTTTCCCCCGATAATGGGTAGCTCAGTAAAGAGTGTGGGGCCAGGGCAGGTCCGGGGAGCAGGGGCACCCAGCAGCATGGGGGTACTAGATGGGCGGAGAAACGCAACCAGGGAGATCACCTCACCTCTTCCGCAGTCTGGGTCCTCTTTTACCCACTAAAGTATCAGGCAGTCAAGAAAAGGCAGAAAAGCAGCCAAGAGGTCCCGAGGGGGTTGGGTGAGCCTAGGAAGTGAGCGATCCTATCGGGAGGGGAGGTTGCCAGGAGGGGCAAGTTTCCACCCGGGAAGGGAATCTGTTCGGGGGTGAGATGACACGAGTTAGTCTAATGAGGAGGACTGCTGGGAGATGGGGGGCTCCCTCGGTCCTTGCCTTGAGGAATGGGGGCGGGAGGAGGAGGTGGTCAGAGCTTCAGGGTGGAGAACGAAAGGCCCTCTGAGTTGCAAAGGCTGGGACGGGTGAGGTGGGTGCTGTCGGGGCTGAGAAGGGAGGTGACGAAGGAGCTGCTGTCCAGGCTGCGGGCACGGGCTGGGCTGCACTGGGCTGGGCGCGGGGGCGGCCAGGCTGCCCGGGCTCAGGGCGAGCGAGCTCCCAGGCAGCCGGCAGGGTGCGGTGTTGCGGGGGCTGAAGCCAGGGGTCCAGCTGTCAGGGTCGGAGAGGAACCCACTGGCGGCGAGCAGGTCGGCAGAGGCAGCTTCCGCAAGGCCGGAGCAGGGGAGGAGCTCCTGTCAGAGCGAAGGCTGGGCGGGACTCACCTTGGCGGCGTCTGACAGCTGCACCAGGAGCAGCACGGAGAGCGCCAGGCAGGACAGGCTGAGCATGGAGCCGAGACGAAGGAGGCCGCCCCACAGGGTCGCCATCGCTGCCAGGCCCAGCCGTCCCCACAGCCCGGAGCCCCCGAGACCGGCTCCCGGCTCGGGCTCACGCTGGGGATCCGGCTCCGGCTCCGGCTCCGCCGCCCACACTTCCGTCTGGGCCTTGGCGTCACCGGCCGCGCCGGGTCAGCAGCAAAAAGCATCCGCCCCGGAAACGGTTCCGTGTGCGGAGGGTCCGGAGGCTGCGCGGTCCCGGCGCTCGGCCCGGCCCACGCGTGGCCCCCGGACAGAGTGGGGCTGTTCTGGGGTGACAGCCTGGGCTCTGCGGAAGCCAGTGCCAGCTCCGGCTGTCAGATGCAGCCCATGCAAGGCCTGAGCCGTTTGTTTCAGATCCCGGCGGCCCGGATGTGCCGGGCCCCTGGAATGGCAGGCAGGGTGGCCCAGTCCGTGGAGACGGGGCCGGGACTAGCCGAGCCGTCTGTTTTCGCATAAGCCCACCCCCGGTCAGCGGGTCGGGGGTCGTCCCCATCACTTTAGGTGCTGACCTGCAGCCCGCGCGCCGACCGGACACAGCTCCCTGCCCGGCTTCCTGCAGTCGCAGTGTGCCGCCTTCAGGTGCGGCTCTCCGCCGGCCTCCGGATGGACACTGGCCGCCTTGGTCCTGGCGGCAGCTGGAAAGGAGGCCGCAGCGGCGGTGCTGGGCTGGCCCAGGCCAGGCTCCGGACGGTGTGAAGTTGGCGAAAGAACCGCCAGCAGTATCCTCCTCCCCGACCTCCAGGAGGTGGGGACAAGTGTGTTTGCGGCGGCTGACCCCGTCTGCCCAGCGCGGGTCGTCCTCCGCGGGTGCATTAGGGGCACCCTGGCGATGGCACAGTGTCTTCCACTAAAATATTTGTTGTAGTTAGTGGAGACCGTGAAGTCGGCGGGAAGAATACAGGGTTCGTCAAAACTGTTAGGGTTTTGCTGAACGATCTTGGGCAAATCACACGCCCTTCTCTGTGCCTCTCTGGATTTCAAGATCTCAGACGGAATACTTGTGCTTCCTTCTCTAAACAGATTGTAAAAGTTATCTTTTCCTAGATTGTGTAAATGTTTTCATTAACAGAATTTTTTTTTTTTTTTTTTTTTTTTGGACAGGCAGAGTGGACAGTGAGAGAGAGAGACAGAGAGAAAGGTCTTCCTTTTGCCGTTGGTTCACCCCCCAATGGCTGCCGCGCTGCGGCCAGCGCATCACGCTGATCCGAAGGCAGGAGCCAGGTGCTTCTCCTGGTCTCCCATGGGGTGCAGGGCCCAAGCACTTGGGCCATCCTCCACTGCACTCCCTGGCCACAGCAGAGAGCTGGCCTGGAAGAGGGGCAACCGGGATAGAATCCGGCGCCCTAACCGGGACTAGAACCCGGTGTGCCGGCGCCACAAGGCGGAGGATTAGCCTAGTGAGCTGCGGCGCCGGCCCATTAACAGAATTTTCTACATTTTTTTTCTCCCACATGATTCCTATGGATGCCAGGCTAGAATTAACACAAGAGTGTCTGATATTGCATCAGATATATTTAGCTCCTTTCAGTCCTAAATACCCATCCCCAAACAGGACCAGTTCAGTGCTGGCTGTCCTGTCACCAGGCTGCCCTGGGAAGATGCTGTCACTGGTGAATTTTGACGTCAATGGGTGTTCTGCTGACCCACGACAATCAAGACACACCCTGGGTCAAACTTACACACCCTGAATCAGCTTACACAACCAGTGAGGCACCTCGGATCTGATTGTATAAGCTTATTCAGAAGCAAGTTTGGGATTATTTTAGGGTTGTTTAGGTCTGGCGTCTAAAGAGAATGCTCATGCTTGGCTGAAACCTCATAGCTGTCTCCAGAACTGTTTTCATGGCCTTGACTGGGGTGCAGAGGCTTAGAGGAAATACACTGTAACACCTCCGCTTAATGGAGAACAGTAAGTACACTGTCCAGTACAGTAGCCACTAGCTACATGTAGCGACTGAACATTTGAGACAAGCTGTAAGTATAAAATATACACTGGGTTTCAAAGATTTAGCATTAAAAACCAAATAGAACATCTCAGATTTTAAGATATTAATATGGTTAGATATTTTGTACTGGGCTAAATATGTTAATTTCACCTGCTTTTTTACTAAAGTGTGGTTACCAGAATATTTTCTATTTATATTAGACAATGCCATTCTAGAATAGAGACTGATGTTGCCGTGAGTAGACTATGACTGGAAGGATGGGTACCTGACTGGAGCCTAAATGAAGGTTCAAGGTTGTGGCCAAGGTAAGGAGAGGAGTCACAGGAACTGATCTAGCAAGAACACAGGGCTTGGAGAGGCAGCTGTCTGCCAAAACTGGAATACAACTTCCGGTGACTTTGTAGAAGTGGTGGGGCTAGTTCCGTTTGTTCTGCCCTGCCCATATCTGGGCAACTCTTACTTTCCTTTAGGTCAGGGGTCTGCTGAACCACACAGCCTGTCCTAAGTGCACTCCTTTCTGTGTTTGTGCCCATCTCTTTCCTAACTTACCCCATTACAGTAAAATTATGTTTTCTTATCTGCCTTTATACTCCCAACCTCCACCAAAATATTGTGCGCTTGGTGAGATGGGGACCTTGTCTTATTATCTTTGCACATGGATACTGAGATCAAGATGATAACGCCTGGGACCGGCGCTGTGGCGTAGTAAGTTAAGCATCCGCCTGCAGCACCAGCATCCCTTATGGGCACCGGTTCCACTATGATGTAGCTCTCTGCTATGGCCTGCGAAAGCAGTAGAAAATGACTCAAGTCCTGGGGCCCCTGCACCCATGTAGGAGACATGGAAGAAGCTCCTGGCCCAGCTCCGGCTGTTGCAGCCATTTGGGGAGTGAATCAGCAGATGGAAGACCTCTCTCTCTCCCTCTCTATGTCTGTAACTCTGCCTCTCAAGTAAATAATAAATCTTTTTTAAAAAATGATAAATGCTTACAGGGATCAGAGAAAGGAAAAAGGAGAATGGGAAAGGTTCCTCTGGCCAAAGAAAAGTATCAGGTACCTATAGCTACTTGAATCCTTACTCAGTTCTGCTGAGACGCCCAAAGAGATGCAAATGGTAGGATCTGGGGCCACCATAGTAGGCAAGGGAGGAAAGATTTCTGGCCTAGGGTCTCAGAGGATTAGGGTTCATTGGAGTTGTGCTGTTTATGTGCAGGACTGGCCTTAGTACCCACCCTTTTCCTTGCTTTGCTGTAACTAGATTTTCCTGTTCCATTCCTCTTAAGGAGCGATACAGGCCCAGGTGTACCCTCCCACCTGGCCTAGGTCCTTTTATTTCTTTGTGAGGCTTGAAAAAAAATTCCCCGGTGTGTGTGTTGGGGTGGTGGTGGGGGTGGTTAGGAAAAGAAGGGGAACTATTTCTAATTTTAAGTGTGGCAGTCACAGGGTTAGGAAGCAGAAGTGACAATTTATGGATCTGGGACAGATCTGTGACTGTGGCCTTGCCAGTTCCGCTATCTCCCTACTCTGATCCCCATTCCCCTCTAATGACTGAATGGCTGTCTGGATGCCCCCTTCTTTCTTATCCCTCCGCACCACCCTTTCTGGCTTTGGCCACTCCAGTCCAAGACAAGTGGAGTATGCACAGCATGGACGATTTCCTTGGATTGGCCTCCAGTGGTTGTGATGGGACACATTCAGAGAAGGCTTTCCAGTTACTCCCAAGCATAACCCTAAGATGTCTTATTTGAGCAACTTTACTTTGCACATCTGCTAGGATGCGCCCTCTTAGGCTCTTTGGCCGCTGCATGGAAAGCTGTGTGTGTCATGTCCACATATACTAGTAGCTACTATGGTAACAACGACGCATGGAACCAGAATATTCTCTTTTCCTAGAGCTGCTGGTGCTACCACTGCTGACAAGTCACTGGAGTCCCTAAAATAACAAAGGAACACAGTACAGCTCCATACCAAAATAAGGAGCTATTATATATTTTTTTTTCCCAGAGGGGTACTAAATCAGTGTTACTGGTTTTCCAGAGTCTTATACTGCTTAATAGAAGCAGTTCCTCTTCTCCATCCACTTAGATTTTCAAATCAATGAACTGCTACATTAAACACTAATTTTTATCAATTACATTAAAAAAATTCACAGGTATCAATAGGCTTATAATGAAAAAGAGCAGACACTGTCCTAGCCCTCTACACTTCCTATTTCAACTCCCCAGAGCTAATCTCTTTTTTACCTTTTAGCTATCTCTTTTGGGACTTATCTTCATATTTCTAAATATCACGCTTAGGGGTGAATGTCTAGCACAGTGGTTAAGATGCTGCTTGGGATGCCTGCATCCCATATGGAAGTGCCTGGGTTTGAGTACCAGCTCTGCTTCCAATTCCAGCTCCCTGCTAATGTGCACCATGGGAGATAGCAGGTGATGGCTCAAGCAGTTGGCTCCCTGCCACCCACGTGGGAGACCTGGATTCAGTTTTTGGATCCAAGGAATTTGAGAAATAAACCACAGAATGGGATCTCACACACTCACTATCTTGGCCTAGGATGGAGTTTTGGGCTCCTGGCTTCAGCCTGGCCCCAGCTCTAGCTGTTGTGGGCATTTGGGGTATGAACTAGCAGGTGGAATCTCTCTCTGTCTCTCCCCCTCTCCCTCCCCCTCCCCCTCTTTCAAATAAAATAAAGCATAAGTAGCATCATACACTGCTATTTCTTAATTTTTTTATTTTTTTTTTTATTTTGGCAAGCAGAAGTGGACAGTTGAGAGAGAGAGACAGAGAGAAAGGTCTTCCTTTTGCCGTTGGTTCACCCTCCAATGGCCGCCGCGGCCGGCGCGCTGCGGCCGGCGCACCGCGCTGATCCGATGGCAGGAGCCAGGAGCCAGGTGCTTTTCCTGGTCTCCCATGGGGTGCAGGGCCCAAGCACCTGGGCCATCCTCCACTGCACTCCCTGGCCACAGCAGAGGGCTGGCCTGGAAGAGGGGCAACCAGGACAGAATCCGGCGCCCCGACCGGGACTAGAACCCGGTGTGCCGGCGCCGCTAGGCGGAGGATTAGCCTAGTGAGCCGCGGCGCCGGCCGCTATTTCTTAATTTTTAAGTGTGGGCCATTTTACTACTTGCTATAGGAAATAAGATATGCATTTATACTCAAGTCTTCTCATAAACACATGTGTTATTTCTTCATCTTCTATCCCTCAATAGATTTATATCCACCAATTTAGATAAATCACCATTGACTTCATTATTATAAAAGCAACCATATTATTCACTGTTAATCCAATTAGCATAATATGAAGACATTTCCTTTCTTTTGACTGGAATACTTTCTTGCCAACCTCTCCTTTTAATTTTAAACACTTTCTATTATTTATTTTTGAGCAGGCATTGTGGCACAGCAGGTTAAGCTGCCGCCTGAAATGTCGGATCCTATACTGGAGCACCAGGTCAAGTTCCAGCTGCTCTGCTTCCAATGCAGTTCCCTGCTAATGCACCTGGGAAGGCAGTGGAGGATGGCTCAAATACTTGGGAGATCCAGAGGCCCAGCCCCAACCATTGTGACCATTTGGGGAGTGAACCAACAAATGGAAGATCTTTCTGTGTCTCTCCTTCTTTCTCTGTAATTCTGCCTTTCAAATAAATAAATGTTTATAAAATAATTAATTTTATTATAAATTGAAAAATTATATGTATTTATAAGGTATAAAGTAATGATATATTTATACAACATGCCAGCTAATTACCATAGCTGTCACCTCAAATATGTATTTTTTGCAGTGAGAACATTCAGAATTTACTGTTTTTTTTTTTTTAAATATGGAACGCTTTACGAATTTGCGTGTCATCCTTGCGCAGGGGCCATGCTAATCTTCTCTGTATCGTTCCAATTTTAGTATATGTGCTGCCAAAGCAAGCACTCAGAATTTACTCTTAGCAATTATTTTTTGAAAGGCAAAGTGACAGAGAGGAGGGAGAACAGATAAAGAAACCATACTTTGGTTCACTCTCCAAAAGCTCACAAGAGCCAGAGCTGGTCTA